ATTTAATAAAAGGATAATTTTGTTATAGTGCTGTATTGCTTAGGTGACTAATTACTTTGTATTCAGGCTGGCATTATAAGCCAAGTCGTTATTATTTAGCCAAAGCAAATTGTTATTAGTCATTAATATTAAGCCAAGGGAAGTTGTTACAAGTTAATATTTAATCAAGACCATTTAGTTGCTAATATTAAGTCAAGGCAAGTTGTTATTATTTAGCCATTAACCATTATAAGTTATTATTATCTAGCCAAGAGAAGTCAAAATCATTTAGCAAAGGCAAGTCTTTATCAGTCATTATTTACCTAAGGAAAGTTGTTATTATTTAGCCAAGGCAAGGTGTTATTATTTAGCCAAAACAAGTCATTATCATTTAGCCTTTTTAGCCACTTAAATATTCAAAGAAATTGTGTCAGAAATGTAATTATGGTATTAGTGATGATAGTTTATTGAGATGATGACAACCAAGCTGTTTAAAGGGATACTCAGGCAAATTAATGACAAAAATATCAAAATGATTTAATGTACTCTAATAACGATAAAATGACATTGTTGTAAAGTCACAGCATGAATTACGGTATAATTCTATATTTTTGGGGTTTGAATTGAAATATATCTAAATATATTGAACGCAATTTAGACGTCGACAGAATCACCAAGTTGTTTTAAAACAAATCATGAGACTTGAACAAACCATGGAAGTTACAATAACAGATATTGTGGATATTGTATGATTAAAACAAGTCTTAAGTCATTCATTTGACATGTATTTTAACGTTTCCAGAGTTCACTATGGCACCTATTGTAAAAACTAAACGCTCTAACCTGACCCACATGGGTCAAGTTAGGAAACAACCATTTTATGCTTTATAAAGAGAAAAGTTTTGTCCCTATGACTGCCTAGTGTATTTATTTTGCAGACATTTACAGAATAATGAATGAAAAAATCAAAACGAAGAAATGAAAGTTTTGCCTGTGTCTCCCTTTAAAGTATGATGTAGGATTGATTTGTCTGTATTTTTGTAGTATATTATATTACAAAATACACAATAGTCACAATACACATAATATAGACACATTGTGATGTGTTTTGTTTATAAGTATCAACTGTCATTACAATGTCAGAAAACTGTACAATTTATTACCTGGTCTGCTTAAATAAGTTATGTATTGCATTTATTACCATGGGATTATTATATATTTGAATAATGATGTCAGTCATGTTGAAAAAATGTTCATATTCATAAACTGTTGTTATTTACACTGGTGCTTTTAAGGAAACTTTTTAAAGGTTTCTTAATTTTAAATTGTTTTTTCCCCAGTTGAATAGTGATATAGGAAAATTTGTTTGACGTGTTATTATAAGGTAAATTTTGGCTAATGAATCAAGTAATTTATTTGACTCTCATAGTTATGATTCATTTACAAAAGACAGGATATTAACAAAATTTATATAAATAACAAATTATTATTATTTTTTTAAATCTTGAAAAATGGGTAATCCCCTCTGTGATCTGCTGAAAGTCATCATTTAACCTCTTTTTGGTTTGATGACAAAATTGTGCTTGCTATCATGAAAATTAATATTTTCTAAGAAGACCTTATAATAAATCCGTTGCAAAAAATTGGTCAGTTATTAATTAATTATAATTACATATTAAGTTTGTTTAATGTTGAGATTGTGATATATCAAAATGATTATATTGCCCAATGGCAAAATATGATAATTCAAATGTAAAACAGTTTTGATTTATAATTATATTTCTTGTTTTGTTCTTTAAAAAGCAGTACTTAGTATTAAACATTTTAATTGCTGATTGATCAGAATCGTTCAAAACAATTGAAAATATTTTCATTACAGCATCCCATAATGCTTTGCAACAATGTCATGTGACCAAAAGAACAAAAAAACAATGGTGCCATGTGACAAATAATTGCTTGTTAATAGAAACCGGTTTCTGTGTACAGTGTGATGATTTCCAATAGAAGAGTATTTTCTCTGATACTAGGGCGCGGTGCCATATTGATTAGATCTGTCTCTATACCTTAACTTAATAATACTGAACTCCCATGTCATAGATTCATTGGAATTTGTTAGAACTACCTGTTAATATATCATTTAATGTGTGTCACTTTTGTTTGTTCATTAGCCGTTCATTATAAACGAATTTTATGGCTTTTATATGGATAAAAATATAGTTTGTTTAATTTTATTTTTCGTTTTTATTTGTGTGCGTATGTAGTTGTTTGTGGATTTATGATTGTGCGTTTCTTATACTTCGGGTCCTAACGGGTCTATTTTATATATACAAAATTTAATATGGCTTTTTATAAGGATTAAAGCAACAGCATATAAGTACACGCCTATTCAAACATAATTTAGAGGGGGTTCTAAAGGAATCATTCTGTTCTGCCTGATCCCATTTAGTTTAAACATAGTTTATTTCAAACAATGATACAAGTACATCATGTTGTTAATACATTTACAATAATTAGATACACGAATGAAAAAGGATTAGAGCCGAAAGCTATAAAGCTTTAAATATAAAGGTCTTCTCCTACATATTTGTACAATGCAGTTAAATTATGACAGTGTTTGCCTGATCCCATTTGTTTATCTCTTAATTTTTTGTTGGGATTTACCTTGTACCAAGACAGTTTAGAGGTGATTTGGCGACTTCTCTGTTTTGTTGGTGGAGCAATTCTCAGATGCTTGATCCTCTGTCTATTATTTTAGACACGAACAGGCACGTGAGTTACGAGCCACTGAGGTTTCATAAGCTAGCTGGATAGCTCCTCACATGAAAGAATCCAAAGTCCTTGTTGGAATTTGAACCTTAGCAGGGGTGAAATGCAAGTGCTCTGAAGTCACTGGGATGCCAATTAAGGACATGGGCAGGATATTACCTGGCATGTAAAGGGCATTCAGTGATAGTTTACTGTTATATATAGTTGATTAAAGTATTTATATTTAAATATATATACAAGATTCAGTAGGCACTGTCTGCTACCTATTTAATAAATCATCCACCGGTGCTATATTGTATTACTATTGTAGTTTAGAATATTTGTCCCAATATTTGTTGAAACTCGGGCATTCAATTCAATTCATGACCTAGTCTTCCATTGATTATCAAGTTTTAAAATGACATTGTTCAATATTTATTTTAGTGTTATGAATTCAACGTGACTTCACGAGCAGCTGTTGAATATAGGTCGTACAGGAATATAATATAAACTTTCTTATAAGGTTTACAAGTGTTGTGAATTAAGATGTATCCCTCTATTGAAAACTATAACTATATTTTCTTAACATTTTTATAAAAAACTGTCAAAAATTTGTATTGTGCTTTTAATGAAAAATGGAAAGATTGGAACTGTTTGCAGGATTCGGATTTTTGAAAGTTTTCCTAAAATAACTATAATTATGAAACTTCAATGATAAAATGTTTGTCATATTGAATTAATTAAGGGTACTCATTTTAGGTTTAAGGGACTTGTATGTGTGACGGGCTGGATGGGGTTAGAAGTCGCTATATTTTCATTAATATTAAAAAAATAAAACATCAGCTGTTATTATTAAAGCTTATATTGCCCTTATTTGACCTTATTTTGTGACTCAAATATTTCCAAAGTTTGACTAATGGATAAGCTGTTTTGGAAAAAAGTGGAAAAGTAACAATTTATACATAACATTTTTATTTGCATTTTGTAAGAATTAATTTTGTAATGGAAAAAAAAATTTGAAAGAAGAATAATTATTGTGAAAAGTTTATCAAAGAGGCTTTGATTTGAAATCATTAAAAAAAAAATGTTTGATGGGGGAATTGTGAAAAGTTAATCACAAAGGCTTTGACTTGAATGATTTCTTGAGAACAATATTGCCGTGTAATTTCTTGTCATTGAGTGTAGATTACAGTGATCTGGTGGAAATTAAGCAGACTTATTGCACACCATTCCCACAATGCAATACATTACACTAATTGAAAGGATAGGAAAAATATTGAATGGCCGGGGATATATTGTAGTATTACTGGTGTATTAAAATAATGTACGTAACACGGTAAACTTGACATATAGTATATCACAGGGTGGCCTTGTATGTATATATGGTATATTGTATATATCGGAAAGTAATCTTTGCTGATTTAAGTGTATAGGAAATAATCTTTGAAAGAATTAGTCAGTTCTGCAGGTTACTTTATACATAAGGAAAAAAAAGTGTAAATCGTGGGTTGGCGGTTATTTTAATTGGAGCTTTTTTAAGTGACACAAATTAATTTTTTCTTATGAAAATTTACACAGAGGATTACCTTGATAATCAATTCATTAGTTAAGTTTATCTTTAAGTGCTGTTGAATCTAGTATTTTTTTCTTTCAAGTGCTGTTTAAATATCGGTTAATGCATTAAATTAGAGGAAATCAGTTATAGACACAAGGTATTAGAGGAAAGCAAATATACATGTTTATAAAATATATATATTTATAATACTGCACGTTTGTGACGGTGATATTTATTGTATTAATTGTCGCGTTGATTTTAATCTGTATACACAGCTGCTGTAAATTTATGAAGTAATTTTCATTTTCCTGAAATAAATAGAATTGTGCTGTTTTAACAGGTTTATAATATGGCCCAGTTATAAACGATTGTTAGCAATATAATATGTTATATTGGATTTCAACCATTTTTGCTACACGACCATATAACCAGTAAACAAATCTTTATAATTAATATAAATAATGTGCATGTATGCAAATTTGAAAAAAGAATTTATAAATGTTGTAATTTGAAATGATGGATTTTAAACTTTAAAATAATTGTATATAACAGAAAATATTGTATCATTCTTAAATGAGTTTATCTTAATTTTATGACAGGTTCATATAGTGAATGCTAAGTGAGATAATTTTGTTTATTAATTGATAGACGAGTATGCAAAATAGCAACACAAAATGTTTATTTAAAAAGTGCTTTAAATGGATGTTTCATTGAAGTGCATGGATTAAAGTTTATCATTATTTAAATGAATATGCAAATTGGTTAACTAAAATGTTGCAAAAATGTAGTTTCTCATTGAATTAATTGGATGGATATGCAAATTAGCAAGATTGAGGAGGAGCTTACAAATATAACATACAATGGTGAGTTGTTATTATCATAAATCCATTATTGAACTAGTGGTTATAAATTACTGTATTTTTGGGTGCATTTTTGCACTTGTTTAATTACAACTTCTTTCGTTGAACCTTTTGAGGGAGACATTGTAGGAAATATATTTAATATTGATATGGTATAAAATGTTAAATGTACAAAAATCTACAAAGTATCAGACCACATGATCAATTAAGTTATATTCTAACACGACCCGCATTTTTCCCTATTGAACATAGAGGAACCGAAAGTGTGTGTTATTATACTATAAAATCACTGTTTGACGTTCTATATTTAGACATGTGACGTAATCATTTTATACGTGACGTAACCACTAAAATGTGACGCGCTGAAAATAAGTACGGAAACAAATCAGGCGCAGTTTAGCTAATTATTATGTACGGCAGCATTTATTTGTTGATGTCGTGTTAGAATCGAAATAATATATCCAAATCGGTGATTTTATTGCTTGATAACATCACTGTTTGTCGTTCGGATGCGCATCATTATATCACTCGGGCTACGCCCTCGTGATATAATTCCCCGCATCCGAACTCCAAACAGTGATGTTATTGAGCAATAAAATCACAGTTTGGGATATATTATTTCTTAAATAACAAGCTATTTCAGGCTGTGCACCAGCTGAAAAATATGTAAAAGTTTGTTAATTTAGGCAGGCAAGTTAAAGAATAGGGAGAGCTTAGTACTCATCCCAGGCGTTGGCATCACACTGGTTAATTTTCTGTATCACACTGGTTAATTTTCTGTATCACACTGGTTAATTTTCTGTATCACACTGGTTAATTTTCTGTATCACACTGGTTAATTTCTGTATTAATTTTCTGTATCACACTGGTTAATTTTCTGTATCACACTGGTTAATTTTCTGTATCCACACTGGTTAATTTTCTGTATCACACTGGTTAATTTCTGTATTAATTTTCTGTGTATCACACTGGTTAATTTTCTGTATCACACTGGTTAATTTTCTGTATCACACTGGTTAATTTTCTGTATCACACTGGTTAATTTTCTGTATCACACTGGTTAATTTCTGTATTAATTTTCTGTATCACACTGGTTAATTTTCTGTATCACACTGGTTAATTTCTGTATTAATTTTCTGTATCACACTGGTTAATTTTCTGTATCACACTGGTTAATTTTCTGTATCACACTGGTTAATTTCTGTATTAATTTTCTGTATCACACTGGTTAATTTTCTGTATCACACTGGTTAATTTTCTGTATCACACTGGTTAATTTTCTGTATCACACTGGTTATTTCTGTATTAATTTTCTGTATCACACTGGTTAATTTTCTGTATCACACTGGTTAATTTTTCTGTATCACACTGGTTAATTTCTGTATTAATTTTCTGTATCACACTGGTTAATTTTCTGTATCACACTGGTTAATTTTCTGTATCACACTGGTTAATTTTCTGTATCACACTGGTTAATTTTCTGTATCACACTGGTTAATTTTCTGTATCACACTGGTTAATTTCTGTATCACACTGGTTAATTTTCTGTATCACACTGGTTAATTTTCTGTATCACACTGGTTAATTTTCTGTATCACACTGGTTAATTTTCTGTATCACACTGGTTAATTTTCTGTATCACACTGGTTAATTTTCTGTATCACACTGGTTAATTTTCTGTATCACACTGGTTAATTTTCTGCATGCAAGCTTGTATCTCCAAAACTTAGTAGGGAATGGGTTGAAACTTCATACATTATTTTTGAGAGCATAACGGGTCAGTGTCCAAGGCCCATAACTCTAACATGGATTTTTGACAGAATTATGGTCCTTTTACCTTAGAAAAGTCTACATTATTCAGGCTCTCGTTTTACTATCAAGCATTGAGAAAAGTTGAGCTTACTGTCCTACCAACAGCTCTTGTTGTTCCGCCAGACAGACAGAAATGTTGAGGTTTTGTTGATGTTTTGATGGTGAAATCCCTTAAACTTCTAATTGGACTGTTCCAAATTCAAAGCAGGGCAAATCCATTTTACAAATATGGCAGGTGTAGGGTTCTAGCAGAGGAAATGTTTCAGAAATGTAATCATAAGTTCAGAGCTATTGATTATATGTCAAATATCTGATCAAAAGTTTCCCCCGGAAATTTCTGTCTTACAAATTTCTCATGTGGATGATGCAGAATTCTCGGGATATTGCATAAGATGAAAATCCTAATTATATTATTGTGAAGTGATTTCTGAGAAATTGTGTGGATTATTTTCTAGATTTATTTTTTTCTACAGGGGATAATTGAGTACTTTAAAAGAATTAGTATGCAAAGAAAAATGATTTATTGTTGCTTGTTGCTATTTGTGTTTGCTAATTACATTGTATAGAGAAAATACCGTTTTGAAAGTATAATTTTGAAACAGGGGAAAAAAACAGATTTTGTTAATCTAATTTTATTTTAACATTAAAATTTGATTCAGAAAGATATTTTGATAATTATACTTATTAAATATGTATATGCATTTCCTTATCAGGTTGATAAAACATTTAATTAGTTACATAAATCTTTTTATCAGAAATAATCATGTTTCCATTTAACAGATTAATTTATCAAGTATGTCCTATTTGTTAAGCTAGGGCTTAGATGTAATCTTTCAATTAATTATACATTCAATTTTGCTAAAAAAAATTACTAGAGGTTACTGAAATAACAATAAACATTATGATTTTTCAGATTTTTTTTAGACAACACTGAAGGTATCAGTCTGTAGATAATAAAATTGGTGCAGTTATATAATGTTAAATTAAAAGGGTTTCCACTAGGATATTATAGAGATGCTTCCTTCATCATTTTGTCATTTTACTGTTGTAACAGATTATTAATACAGCTTCAGTTTTAATTAGGGATAATTGCATAAATCATTATCAAAGGCCCATTTTGCCTCAGAAACAATAAGAATTTTTCCATCTCTAAGAGTTTATGCTTTAATATTAGTAATTGTTTTAGAGTAATTTTAAGATGCCTGTCACCTGAAAAAATTTACTCGGAGTGTGAAATTATTTTTCATAAAAGTAACAAAAAAATATAAATAAAGTAGTATTTTGACTTCCATATAAGATACTAAATCACTGTAACACTGTAATCACTGTTACTTTTTGGAAACTTAAACAGGACATTATTGAGAAATAAAATTGATAAATTTTTTAGGGCATAATGATATCGAGTCTTTAATCTTTCTATTTTCAATATTATGTTTGGATAATGATATTGAGCGACTATTATCTTTCTATTTTCAGCATTTTTAAGGCATAATGCTAACAAGCGTGTAAGTTTTCTATTTTCAGTATTATGTTCAGATAGGGCATAATGATATTGAGCGTGTAATTTTTCTATTTTCAGTATTATGTTCGGATAGGGCATAATGCTAACAAGCGTATAATTTTTCTATTTTCAGTATTATGTTCAGATAGGGCATAATGATATTAAGCGTGTAATCTTTCTATTTTCAGTATTATGTTCGGATAGGGCATAATGATATTGAGCGTGTAATCTTTCTAGTTTCAGTATTATGTTCGGATAGGGCATAATGATATTGAGTGTGTAATTTTTCTATTTTCAGTATTATGTTCGGATAGGGCATAATGATATTGAGCGTGTAATCTTTCTAGTTTCAGTATTATGTTCGGATAGGGCATAATGATATTGAGTGTGTAATTTTTCTATTTTCAGTATTATGTTCGGATAGGGCATAATGATATAGAGTGTGTAATTTTTCTATTTTCAGCATTTTTAGGACATAATTTTAACAAGCATGTAATGTTTCTATTTTCAGTATTATGTTCGGATCGTGTGACACAGATGACTAAAACGTACAATGATATAGAAGCTGTAACTAGACTATTGGAAGAGGTATGTTTAATGATTAATCTTATATGAGCCGTGTCACGACAAAACCAACATAATGGGTTTGCGACAAGCATGGATCCAGACCAGCCTGCGCATCAGCACAGTCTGATCAGGATCCATGCTGTTCGCTTAAGCCGTATAAAAATAGAGAAACTGATAGCGAACAGCATGGATCCTGATCAGACTGCGCGGATGCGCAGGCGGGTCTGGATCCATGATGGTCGCAAACACATTATGTTGGTTTTGTGGTGACTCGGCTCATATCTTCTGGAGCCTTTGCTATCAATATAAAGCCACTGGTTAGCTGGCATTATCAGTGCAGTCTGAGACAAGGCCTTTTACTGTTGGTAACTCAATTTTTCGTATTTTGATAAAAATTGTATTACCACTAACACTGTTGGGTTTAATCATAAAAGAGCCTTCATGTTGACTATTGAATACTGCTTAAGCTGATGTTAGGGGACATAAAAGATGTTGCGCATTTCATTTTCTCTTGTGAACAGACTCAATTAAACTGAGTCTGCAATTGTCATGTAATATTGTTGTTTTCAGTGCTTCTGAGGATCACCCCTCTTGCCAGTTTTTAAATTCCCTCATTTGAGGTAGCTATTTTATTGAGGATGAGTTTGTTATGTACAGAGACAGTTTAATGGTGCATTGTATCACTGTGGGTTCCAATCCTTCCAGAGACTGTGATATCAGTCCTTCATCTGAGAGAGCAAAAGTTGTACAGGTACTTTGTGGAATATCAGTGGTCATATTCTTGTCCATGTGTTTGCCAGAAATAATGCACACAGACAAATAAAGTAAAATGGTCTCAGCACTGAACTTGAGTCTTTGAATAGATTCTCCGAACAGTACAGAAGATCAATGGTTTTTATGCTGGTGCCCAGTCATGTAACTGAAATAATGTAACTGATTGCTGATTCTGAGGGACTTCTCTAGCTAGCTTATGAAAGGTTGGTTCCTGGTCTTACTCATGTGCTAGCTTCTGCCTGAAATAATGCACTAAGTGCAATTTAAGTATTACCCCACCAGTAAAGCTGGAGAGTCACCGTATTACCTTTGGTTGATGCCAGTTCTACTTATGTTTGACCTGGCCCGGCTTTCACTAACATTCTCAAAGTAAAAATCTCAGCTCAAATCTGAGATTTTTCTCAAATCAGAAATTGACATTGAGGTTTTTCTCAGTTTGGCTTTCACTAAAAAATATTGAGAAAAATCTCAACTTAAGATTTGAGATTTTTCTCAGATATATTGAGACAAGGTTTGGCTGTCTCAGATTATGTCTCAGTGAAGCTAAATCATTATTCTCAGGGGTATTTTTACTTTTTGCATTGTTATTTTGATAAATAAACATAATTTGACCTTTTTTGCAATTAAATTCCTATAATTTTCATATATTTAGTAATATATTGACTGATTATTGTGCGTGACATCATGCGCTCTTATTTATGACGTCATGAAATTATGACGTCACAATTATCATACTGAAAATGATTTTGTTTTTCTTTTGATGTACATTCATTCTTGAAAACTCGTTTTCATAAGCATTCAAATATTCACACATTTGCAATTGCTTTTTGTTGTTTTTGTCATTGTTTGTTGTTGTTGTTCTTTTTAAATAAAACAAAAAAATATAGATCTTCTTTTATAATGTAATAAATATACAAAACATTTCCGTGTTGCGTCATCTTACATCAAAACAGCAACTATATTAATATATACATGATATATACTACGTAACAAAAAGGAACACTCTATGTTTTAGTCATAGAAGCCCATCAACAATGTACACTAAGATAGCCGCTTATGTCTTGAGAAAAAAACAACAGTCTCAGCTGAGAAAATTCTCAAATGTTGAGAAAAAAATTAGTGAAAGCCAACTTGAGATTTTTCTCAGGTGAGTAAGAATCTCAGTCAATACTGAGACAATCTAAAATTGAGATATATCTCAGTTTGAGAACGTTAGTGAAAGCCGGGCCTGGTGCCTTGAATAATTCAATAGATGCATCTTTGATCTTACTCCACCAGTAAATGCTGAAAAGTCTCCATATAAGTTATAATGTTGATGGTGTAACTTAATATTTAGAACATTATATAGTAATATGTTTAATTATTATTTGAATATATGAAGATAATACCTCACGACAGTTAATTTTTTATTTGATCACAAGCATGGTAGGTAAATAGACTGCATGGTTTGATATATATTTTAGATTTTTAATGATTAGGACGATATTAGTTGATATAGAATGACGTACTACGTATTCGTATATAGAAGTCAATATTTACTTTAAGATTATAGGTGCATATGCAAGGTGGATGTGTTTTTGTTAATGATCGAGATTTTACCAAAATTTTCTTATCTGTGCTGTCATGTACCCAGTTTATAATTAGAGACAGTCCTACTTTAGAATAGCATGCCTCAAGATTCATGCTTTTTTTTCTTCTTTTTTTTTAAATAAGAATTATTGTCAAATGAAGAAAGAAAGTCATTTACAGATTTAAAACTGAAAATCGGCCAAAAATCGGTCAAAATATGCAAAAAAGGGAAGATAAATGTTTAATTTTACCATATGATTTAGATGAAAAATAATGATAAGGCAGAAAAAGAAATGAATTAAAAATACTAAATGTTTGCATAAGCTTGAATTATTTTCCTGCAATAAAAATTTAATTGTTTGCAATTTGTGTAAAACTTTTAAGAACATGATGCTATGTTACTTTCATAGAAAAATATTCAATAGTAATTTTACCAACTTTTTTTCAAGGCCATGTAGCTTAAGTCTATCAAGCAAAATATGACTAAAAAATTTTTGTTTTTGGTAAAGTCTGTTTAGTTAAATCAGTATTACGTTTGATCCAATTTGATGTGATTTATGATAGCCAATATAAAGCTGAAATATTAGCCTGTTGGGGGCAGCTTATATATTAATCTATCTATGCTACCAGAGCAGACAATGATCACTGGTCACATCTGATTCTGAGTGCCGTCTGATCATGGTCTGCACTGTTCACTATTCAGTCAATACATATTTTGAAAAAAATTTCCCCCAAAAATAATGAATGGTTAAGTCAAGACTGACAGATGGACAAGTCCATTTAAGATATTTAGCGATGGAGGAAAGCGTTAAAGAAGTTGGTGAGTTTGGTGTTCTATATATAAAATTTAAATCACTTTATCAGTGACATTCAGTACACAAATGTCATTATCATCACATGCACTATCTTCTATATTGAATGTAACGTAATTGTTTTAACTGTACGCAAATCTCATAGGAGTTAAGATTATTATAATGTATCTGAGGCTACAAGGTGGTCATTTGAATACATGTCAGCCGGGTCTGTTTATTTTGTTTACAGTTTGCCAGTGTCATAACCTGGCCATCATAGATAAAATTTTGCATTTGGTTGGCTATTTATTAGTGGTATAGGAATTTATCAGGTGTATGATGGTGAAATTTTGATACAATTATTAACATTTAAACATGCCGGACTTTGAAAGTGATCACCTAGAGAAGTGCCTAAAAGACTGTACAAATGGTTGCTTAGTAAGTGTTTAGTTGTAAATAATAAATCTTGACTTTTAGGCTTGTTTTGTTATCAAATTGTAAACATTTGGCCAGATCAGTTTCAAGTTTGATTCCCAGAAGTCTCAAAAGTCTTATATATTAGTTTGGGAGCAAATTTGTGTTAAAGAGGTTGTTGGTAGTGCATTGTACTGAGTTGTCTGTGTTTCTATTGTACTTTATTCATGCAGTGGAACAGTAGTTTCAAATCACAACAGTGATTGGATTCCTTTTGTGTAGATAACTAGTTTATGAAACTTGTATGGTTAACAATTTCAGATGTGCACCCGTCTTCTCCACTAATAGTGATAAAGGTGACAATTTACCTGATGTCTTTTAATATGTGACATAACTTACAAACATAAACAAAAAACACACCAAAATATTATCATTAACATATGATCATGCTTTCTACAGTCAAACCTGTGAATAAAGGTTATCCAAAGGAGGGACCAAACAATATGGCCTTTATAGAGAAGTGGGCTTTATTTAGAGTTTGCTTTGTTCTTTTTTAATCAATAAGTGACTGTCAAAGAGTGGCCTTTATTTACAGGGCAATCTTGATTCAGAGGTGGCCTTTAACACAGGTTTAACCTTTTACAAAGTCATTATTAAATGTGGTTACAGGAAATAATTTTAATCAACAAAAGGCAACATCACATTGCTGTTATATTTCTGGGCATGCCGTTTTATGTTTTGTCTCTTTATAAGGATTATATTTTTTCTGTTTTGTCTCTTTATAGGGATTATATTTTCATTAACATTGGAAAAGATATAACAGCAGGGTGGGGGGGATAAGCATCTTACAACATTAGATGCTTACAGTGTCATATTGGCATCAGGTCCAAAAATTAATCCTGAACTTTTTAGTGTAAGGCGATATTATATATTAAGTTAACAAAGAGGCTTGACAAAGATTAAAAGTTGTTTTTTTCATTTTCTTTTTTTAAGCACACTCCTGCATGATCTAAGGTCAATGTTTTTGCTATTCTTTTGTTTTTAAGACCACTCCCTGCGAGTTCAGTGTTCTTCCATTCCTTTCTGTTAAAAACATTGTTATTTACATTTATTGGTCTTTAAAGGTACAGCACATGAATTTTTTTTATGGAAGAATGAATAACATTGGAATATTTGTTTATGTAACTGGGTGTTGATTTTTCACACATAATGTGAATGAACTCATTATGAATTTCAGAATTTCAATGTCAGAATACACAAAATGTAATTAAAATTTAGCAGTCACCATTGGTGATTTCTGGGTTTTTTTTAAGCACAGGTAATTTTATATGATTACTAATGATTATAGTGTGTATAAATGTAATGATAAAGGTTTAAGGAAACTTTACTTTCTGGCAATAAGTACAGTTATAGTGATTTAGTGTGGAAGTCAAAATACTACATTGTTTACATTTTGCTACTTTTATGACAAATAATTTCACATTCAGCCTACTTTCTTCAGTTGATAAGCTTCTAAAGTTCTTTAAAAACCATAATTTAAACATTATAATAAATCTCTAAAGAAAGAAAAATTTATTCATCTCTGAGGCATTATGACTTCATGGGCCTTTAAAGCATCTTAAAAGTTAACCCAGCTTCTTAAAGTTTACCCCATAGTGCTTTTAGGCAATAGAAAATAAATTCCCAGATTCTCATCCCCGCCCGCCCGGCAAAAATTGCTCTGCCCGAACGATTTTTATTTTCAAAAAAAAAAAAAAAAAAAAAAAAAAAAAAAAAAGAAGAAGAAGAAGAAAGAAAAAGAAAGAAAGAAAAAGAATTAAGTAGATAAATAAGTGAAGAAAGAAAGAAAAAGAATTAAGTAGATAAATAAGTGTATCATCATCTGTGCGGCCGAAAATCCGTCAGTCTCGGTCCTGGCTGAAATGCGGGCCGAGATAAAATTTCTTACCGTGAAAAATCTTCGGGTCCAAATTAAATTTCTAAGAGCTAAAAATAACCTGTTTTGATAGTTAAAATGAAATGTGTTAAAGAACTTTACCTATATTGAAGTTTGAACCACAAAAGACCAATTTTGGACAAGTCAAATATTCAAATAAACAGCAGTTCATAAACAGCATTCGGTAAATTTTGCCGTAAATTACAAATTTGGAAATTTTGTTTTACAATGCCTTTTAAAATAGCAACTGAATAACAATTTAAATATTCTCATAAAATAATTAATCTGATAAAATCAAAATCAACGACAACTAGAATTGTGAATGGTTATGCAGAAAACAGACATTTTTTTCGTTTGTCACATATTTTCGCGATGCCGATTTTTATAATAAAAAAAGAAGTCACCAAAAGGAAGCCTTGTATTGATAAAAATTGTCCAATAACACTTTAAATATAGTTTATTAATTAAATTAACTTACTGTTTTGTTTAAGTTAGTTTAGAATGAGACATTTGCCAGTTTGTGTTGTACAATGTATATTTTCTTAAGGGAGGGGGGTGTGTGGAATCACAGATATATTATACAAGCTCCATGATAGAATTAATCAAGAAGAAACAGCAGAATTGGGAGTCTCAGGATTTTGAAAATCCTAGTGAGGACCCTGATTATTTCTACTGGCCAATTTTGTTTTGTTTCTTCATTGAAAGCCACACTAAGAAAAGCCGTCATTTTGACATTCACCCAGGTTGTTATCATATAATACTTGAAATGTCACGGCCTGAAATAATCATTTGAACCAAATATAAACAAAAGGGGGGTGCTGGTCCTTGTGGCCTTAAAAATGAATTTTGCATAGAATCTTCATGGTCAGCGTGCTGCTTGATTTTGTATGTACTCTTTATAATATCTAGTCATGATATGAAAGTGAAAATAAGATCGCTTTTTTATATAATAGGTAAATCTCTGTACTTTCTTTGCCAAATTTTCAATAGCTTAGATGTTATTTTTGCAATGTAATATATAAATAGGATTGTCTTTTTGTGTAGCTTCATTGGTTGATTAAATAATTTACTCATGTAAAAGCACTATTGATCAGCATAGGCATAGTACATCTTTATTCAACTCCTTTATAAAATTAATATGTCTTATTTTGTAACAATACATGTAGATCTATATATTGTTGTCTTTTTTATTTTGTCCAAACATGTAAATAATATGAAAGGTTCAATAAAACAGCTAGATCATTACAATCAAGATATATTATCATGTTGCTTCTATTCTCAATCTGAATCTACATATCTTACATACACATAATATTAGAACCTATTATATAGAACAAAGTCCAAAATATTGACCTCCTTGTGTGTAATTCCAGACCGAGAATGGAAAATAAAAAATAAAAATTAAAATCCACCCACCCGCCCTATTTTTCCCCAAAATTTGGATGAGAATCTAGTTATTTATTTTCTATTGCCTTAACAATGGTTGAGTGAGGCAGAAATATCAAAAGAATGATTCCTTAAAGCTTTGGTATTTGTTTTTCTCAGAAAGTAGAAATTGTTTTAATGCCATTTTACCAGAAAATAAACCACTTGCTTAATTGATGCCTGTTAACCAAAGGTCATAATTCATGCTATGCTTCTGGTTGGGGAGGAAAAACTTCTGATGTATAAGAGATGTAGGTGTATATATACACATCAAAGCAGAGTTAGATATGTATCTTAATTTAATAGAAAATACTCATTGTTCCTTCATTTAACCTAGAAGAAATATTTCATGGAAATGTGGAATTAGACTGTGAATGTTTTGTGTTTTTGATTAAAGGCATTTGAATGAGTTTAAGTTTCATTTTTTGTTTGTTTTCTATGTAAGTTGCTTCTGGTAGAAATTAAATTTAAGTGTGGAAAACTGGAGTTATTTAAATTGAATAGAAATTTTGATAATGTAATTCTGTGTTTGTTTACATATGTTATATACATATATATATGTTATGCAATAATTATGCATGTATGCTGAATAGATGATTATTTCTGTGGATTAAAATGAACATAAAAGTGATGAAGATAAAATAATGTAGCAAATCAGTATTCTACCCGTCTAGTGAATGGTTGTAAACAAACAAACAAACAAACAAACAGATATGCTATTTATACGTTGAATTATATGCATGCAGTGTATATACAATGTATTTACCTTTGTTGAAAATAGGCATGCGGAACCAATTTTACCTTGAATGAATCAGAAATATAATAATTAGTGTGCACTTTGTCATAAAAATGCACACTGCTAAACTGTCAACAAGGATATTAAAATTTAAACAAACATTTTATTTATAGTTTATAAAGATTACTAAGTGTTAAAATTGTTAAGTGTTTTATAGGATTATGAAAACCTGTTTTTTGTTTAAATTGTCACTACCAAAATATTCAAGACGGATTTAGACAGATATTGATATGCATTTTTTTTTATATTTTCTATTTAACAAGTAAAACAACTTGCCTTCAAATACATATTGATTTGACACATTAATGTGGGACACTTTTAAAGCAGACCATATATATAAGATTAATGTTTAGTTGTATTCATTCGATTTTAAGCTTGACTAACTGAAATACAGAACGGAAGTTTAAATTGAAGAATAGAAGTTTATTTAAGTGTACGGGTATTCTAATTGCCCAAGTGTCCGGGGATTCTATTTTCCAAGTGTCTGGGGATTCTTTTTTCGTAAGTGTCGGAGGATTCTATTTTGCCCAAGTGCCCGTGGATTCTTAATTTTCCCAAATGTCTGCGGTATCAACACATGGTTAAAAGCTTTGCTGGCAACACCATATATCATAAATCTCTTTAACTAATTTCTGTTTACTCTTTGGAAAACATATTTGTAGGTCATTTGCCAAGAGCCATAACTCTTGCATGGATTTTGATTGAATTACTCCCCTTTGAAAACTTTGAAAATTCCTTCATTATCGGGGTTGTTTTATTGTCATGTTGAGAATAATTGAGCGAGTTTTATCTTATCTAGCAGCTCTTTTTAATATATCAGTCAAACAGGATCTTGTTTTTTGTTATACGTTTTTTTTTTTGCAACTGTTTGAACACGAAATATAAATCCCCAAGAAAGACATTTTGCAAATTGAGCATTAAATTATGAAAATTGTCAAGGACCTTGCTGCAAACTTTGTTTGTGCAGAACTTCACTGATAAATCAGCTGTTTAAAATTGCTGTGGGAAACAAATGGAATTGTGTACAATTTGTATATATTACACGAAATGGCCTCGAAAAATGTTCAGAATGTGAAAAAGTCTGCAAAAGTAAGTTTTGTTCTGTTTGATTATTAAAGTTTTCTTATTGCAAAAATAAAATGTTTTTTTTTATGTATCATGTGCATTTTGATATTTTCATATCCATATGTTATTTTTAAAAAGAAAGCATTAAATGATGTGTTAATCGTGTAGTTCCATTTAGAGAAGACATCAAAATATGTCAATTTCTGGTTCGAGTGATATTCTTTACTGAAGTTAATAAGTATACATATACTTGCGAAATTAACCTGCCAGATCTTTAAAATTTTCTCGTTCAATTAGAAATTTTAGGATATCAAATAAAAAAAAAATAAAGATTGTGTAAGTTAGGTAAATGTATAGAGCTTTAGTCAGAATGCATGGATGTGCAGGCTGACCTGGCTCTATACTGGTGGTAAAGGTTTTTCTTATTTTATAATTTAGGTTCCAGCTATCAACTCTACAGCACTTAAAGTTGTCTGCCTCCAGATGAACCAAACTATTTCAAGAAAATCAAACTTTAGAAAAATGTAAAAAGATGTTAAGAAAAGTAAAAAGATTCAAGATTCAAGCTATAATTTTCATGTTCTGTGCTATTTAAGACTGCATTTGATTTTACAGTTTTTATCACCATTTTGACTGCATAGGGCTATTTATAATTTATGCATATTTTGACCTCTTTTTGGTAATGTGCGTGGATTTTAAGCGCCGATTGCAGCGAACATGTAAATTATTTTGTTGCCTTCGTAATATTTAACTTTTAAATACATTTTCAAAATTTTCATGAAAATTAGCACGAGTCTGATGATGTGCAGCTTTAACAAGGAAACAAACAAACAAAAGCAAAGCAAAATTAACTTGTTATTATAAGAACACCATACTTGCACATAGAAGTATCATTATGATGTTATTTTGTGGCTTTCTATTATTAAAAAACAAACAAAATTAATGAAAGTTAAGCCTGTGTATTGTTTTAATTATGTAAATTATTCCTAAAGGCTTATTTAAAAATAAAAAAAAAATCTTCAAATTATATATACATGATTGTATATTCTCTTTTTGTTGCCTTTTAAACATAGTAGTTGGAGTACTATACCTTTTATTATGCTGAGGATGCAAATATTACTTCATAAGTCATGGTTCATACTTTAGTAAAATATTCATGAACTTTTATAATAAACATTAATTTACCAGATTGTCATTTGATGATCAATATTTTCCATTAACTGTTTCAATATACCAATGTAAGCGCCATTGTTTTGATACTTGATGACAATTTATTCCCTTGACACATTTATCTATTCAATACTGATGATGTGTAACTTTATTTTCAATTTCGTTCCAACTGACCTAAATGTACATATAATCATATAATTGAATTAATTTAGTTAAAATTCATATTCATTGTTGTTTCCATTGACTGTAGCTAAAAGTTCAGATATTTGCACAAACTGTTTTAGGTTCCAAGAACAGATATGAGTGGTTAATCACATGTACTTGTAACTTTTAAAGTCTAATTTATGTGAGTTGTGGCGAGTTATATATTTTAGGGGCGGCTGCCTCAGAAAGTTTAATTAGTCTATATCTATTTTGTTTTTTCACTCATCAATTCTGCTTGAACAAGAGAAAATAAACAGATAATATGGGACATTTTCTATGAACAGGTGCTGGGAATATTACTTTAAAGGGTATTTGGGATGTGGCAGTAGATATTTTGTCTGTCATTAAGTATTAGAAGCTGTGAATTTCATATATGACCTATGCATTGCTAGAAGTCTTGTGGTGGCATGAAATATCCACAGACAATACACTTAGACATAACCCTTGCATCCCTGCTCAATTAGTGTAATGGACCTGTCCTTTGAATTTGGTACAGTCCGATAGTAGTTGTAGGGGGTTTTAAATTTAAAATACTAAAACTGAGCATCCAGTGAGATAGATTTTGGTCAGACTGCACACATCTAACGACTTGTGTATAACTGGTCATACTTCACAGATGTGATGTCTGGTCTAATACTATTACCAGTTTTTCAGACCAGTAATTATCACAATAAGTGCTCTAAAAATAGTGGTATTATCAGAATAAAATTTGGGTAAGGATTTATAATTATTTAATGCAAGAAAATATTTTTGAAGACTGTACATTTCAAAAATTATAATATGTATTTTTTCTATTGCAAAAAAGGAGAGAGTTTGGGAAATTTAAACCGTTTAAGTTTTGGACGGGACATTTTTGGGAGGAAGAATAAATTTTTTGGGAAGAAAAGAACGAAGAGTTAGAACAATTGATCACTCAAGCTAATGAGCGAATAAATCAGTTGAAGCATGACTTGTCGATGAAAGATGAGCTTCTTAAAATATATACGCAAAACTACGAGGGTGTGGACTCCAGTTCACCGGACTCACCGGATGGGAAAACAGTGCCAGGGTTGCAGAAAAAGATTCAGAGTTTAGAAGATGAGAATCTCCAGTTACATTTAGAGGTTTGTTTTAACCATATTTGTTTTCCTTTATCACGCTGACTTTGCATTAATGGCCAAGCATATATATATTAAATCTAATCTATGCATGTGGCCAAGTGGTTAAGGTTGTTGACTTCAAACCACTTGCTCCTCACTGCTGTGGGTTCAAATCCTGTCTTGGACTTTGGATTCTTTCATGTGAGGAAGTTATCTAGCTACTCTTACAGATATCTGTGGTTCTACTCATTTGTCTGCTTGGATATTGTTGTTAAGAGCAATTGCTCTGCAGAGGACCACTCTGTAGTGAGTGCACTGTATTTGTTATTTCCTGTACATTTTCTTAAGAGATTTGCAAGCTAATAATACAAGACTCTACTTATATTCTCTACTACTGTGCACAATTTTATTTAAAGAGTTACCTGGTAACACTGTATTCTGGTGTCATGTTTACTAATTTTCGAAATTTGAGTATTTGAACAGTTTATAAAGTGCTGACTCACTGGTACATCATAGTCTGGTTGCTTAGATACTAATTAAATAAAAGTTAAGAATATTGATTAGCTTATATGGAGGAAAATTGAAAAAGGAAATTGATATTTTATTTAAGCAAACGAGTAATTATAACGTTCAGTTGCGTTTCATTATGCAAGCAATATACTTGTAATTAATTGCATGTAATTGCAAAGTCATTACATGTGGTTTTCAACCTTCTTTTTTAATTGCTGCAAATTTTTTTTAATTTCTATAGCAAAATGCAGAAAAAGGGTTGTAAGAAGGGGCATTTTCAAAGGGTAGGCAAACCAAAATCATTTTAATGATGGCCATATCACTGATGGTCATGCTGCATTTAGAAGGATTTGAAAATACATGTATATTAAAAATTTAATTTTTTTTGCAGACGTTTAAAGCTAAGGGGTTGGGCCCGACGGGCTGGGAAAAAAAGGGAAAACAAATTTGGGGCAATGATGTGTACAACCAATTTGGTATGTTTTTAAGGGCCCACAAAAATTAAATTTCCCTTAAAAATAAATAGCCTATAAAACTTAAATTTTAAAAAAAAATTTTTTACCCTTTACAAAATTTAAAAAAATTTGGGGGAGCCTTTTTGTTTTTTCCCTGGCCCCCATTTTTTTGTGTTGGTTTTTCCTTTTTTTACACTTTTTTTAAAATTTTTTCCCTGGGAGTCGTTTTAAAAACCAAAAAACCCCTGAAAGGGGGGTGGGTTGAAAACTTTAAATTACTTGTTTTTCTGTGACTTTTTTAACATGATGAGCACAAGTCCTATAACTCTGAGATACCCTTTTACAGAGTTATGCCCCCATTATTACTGTCAAGCACGTAGAATTTTTTTATGGACAGCTGTTGCTGTCGATTGATTGTGCAACTTAAATTGATAAGGTTCCTGATGTCATGTGAAGAAACAAGGTCAATGGTTCAAGACACTTTTAGCATTTAGTTACAGCACCTCTTTTCAGGGACTTAAATGTAAAGAATTGATGGCTTAGAAATAAAAGTTTGATAGGATTTTTAAGGACTCTATATCAATGATTAGTAAAAGAAGATTAATATGTTGACAACTTGATCTGGGCTTACTGTCTGAGCTATTTCTCAAGAGTTAGTTTAATTGGAAATCAATGATTGAATTCTGCTTTTTTAGGGTCTAAAAGGCTACAAATAATTATTGTATACACAGAATGCTGTTTGACATGGACAACTGCTTACGTATAATGTTTTGATTTAACCCATTACCGCATGAGCATTTTGTGAAAAATGGCTGTTTTCATTGAAAAGTCTCCCTTTACAAGTTCAAGTTGCTATAAAACTGCTTCAATACTAATCAAACTTGGCACAAATGTTGACTGGACCATTGCCTTTGTAACAACATGCTCAGTCTTAAATTTCCTGTTACCATGGCAACTAGGGGACATCTCAAAATTGCCAAAAATCACTTTTTTGCGTTGATTTTTTCCATCAAAATTGAAGTGCTGCCACTTCTCAATGGATTAAGATAGAGTCAAATGCTTTTCAGCGTTGGTTACAAGTTACCTTATGATCAACCTGGGGTCATTTTTAGCCTCTCAAAAGTCCAAAATTTTCTTGGCGATGAGGGGGACTACAGCCCCCCTTCAAATCCCCCAAACAGAAGGGGGCACATCCCCCTTCTGGCAACCCACCGATTAAGATGGGGCACAGCGCCGAAAAAGTGGTCACTTTTTTAAACAACACTTCTCAAACAAAAACAAGTATTAGGGGCCTAAATAAGGCATTTTTTCACCATTTGAGAAAGCAAAAAAGGGGGGGGGGTGAAAAAGGCGTAGAAAGGCGTATATATCTTTAAATGGGTTAAAATTTCATAATTTCAAATTTTTTTATATAATTTGTAAACAGTTTTTCTTTAATGTGTATCGATTATTGATCTAAAGGAAAATTTCGATAAACATCAATATCATTTCTATTGATGAGACAGCTCAAATACATTATAGCATGAAACACCAAAGTCAGTCTGAAAAGTACTTACGAAGAACAATATCAAGATGTTTATTATATTTATTTGTTTTCACTATGCATTGTACATTTTGGAATAAGAATATTATTCAAGTAATGATCATATGGCTTAAATCAGGCATAAAATATCTATATATCCAGTCGGCTGGTGACAAAAATGTTTGTAGTGAGGTTATAGTAAGTATTAAAATGCAAAATATTATCGAAATAAGTGGCAATTTACATCAATAGGAAAGTTTAAATGCTTTCTTTTTAGTCGGCCAGTGACAAAAATGTTTGTAGTCAATTCAAAAGCTTTTTGTAAATGCCAATAAAGTATTTGTTTAAGATAAAACTCTGTTTCTTAATCAGTAATCACTCAATAAAAAAATGAAGTCCTGTTTTCAGATATAGGTCTAGGGTATGTGATATAAAATACTTTAGTTAGGTTATATTTCTCTACTGATAATACTGCCATTTGTAACATTGCTTTTAATTGGATAATTGTGATGTTTATATTGTTTTATATATACGGCTGCTGTCAAATTATGAAGAAATCTCATATTTTTCTCAAATAAGGAGTTTGCTGTATTATAAATTTGTTTTAAACATTCCTGTTTTCCAATAAACAATAATGATAACCATTTTCCTGTTAGCAACAACTGTATCTACACTTGCAATCATTGCTTATCAAGATTTGCCTTCACATCTGTGCTGACTGATCATGGTTTGCACTGGTGGCTATTAAGTTAGTACATATTCTAACATTTTCCCTAAGAATGATGAAATATTTTGTCCAGATTGAAACATTGACAAATTGATTTTAGATAATTAGAAGATTTAAGATGTATCATTCTTCATTATCAGAGAATCAAAAGCTACTCACATATTGATAAGTTGTCTAACTAACATCCAAGCAAACAAATAGACAAATGATATATTTATGACAACTATTATTAACAATAAGTTAATTGGAATTCTAAAATACACATGTTGAAGTATTCCATTCCATTATGCTGATAGTTGTCCTAATACTGTTTCATGAAGATATTTCGTATTTGAAATTGATTTTTAGGTCACGTTTTTAGTGCTGTCATAAATTATAAGGCATTGCTTTATGTTTTAGACAATGCCAATAATTATATGACATATTTTCATGGTGTTAGTAATGTTATAGTTATATGATATCACTTCATGTTTTTGGCGATGTCATAAATATATGACATCACTGCATGTTTTAGTGATGTCATAATTATATGACATCACTTCATGTTTCATTGATGTCATAATTATATGACATCAATTTATTTTTCAAGTGATGTCATAATTATATGACATGACTTCATGTTTTTTGTGATGCCATAATTATATGACAGCATAGAAGAAGATTTTAAAAGTGATATCAAATTTACTTTTCAGTATTCCCTTCATGAAAACTGGTTATTAAGCAATCATATCGTTATTGTTGTTATATTTTAACAGAGGATGTTCATGGCCAGCTTTCCCAGTTGTCGAGAGAGTTGGTGGAGAAGTCAGAAGAATGTTGTTCACAGAAAGAAGAGATCACAAACCTCTTACACCAAATTGTTACGCTGCAGAAAAAAGTCCGCACTGTAAGTACTTTGTGTTAGTAAATTTCTCAATTAATTGTTTTAGCTTCCTACGCTGCAGAAAAAAGTCTGTAGAGGTTTCTAGCAGGAAGTGTCAATAAATCTATATCACAATGGGTTCTTGCGTATTATTAAGGTTTATGCCTAATATTGAGGTTCATAATTATTATTTAGATTCATAATTATTATTTAGGTTTATACTTGTTATTTAGGTTCATACTTATTATTCAGGTTCATAATTATTATTTAGGTTCATAATTATTATTTAGGTTTATTCTTGTTATTTAGGTTCATACTTATTATTTGGGTTCATACTTATTATCTAGGCTTATTCTAATTATTATATTTATCCCAATATGGCAGTATTGTGAATGAAAGCCTTCTGGTTAGCTAGATTGGTAGAGCTATGGACTCTGCATCGGGTGACCCCAGTTTGATTCCCAGACAAAGCAGGCAACTTTTGTTGTGATTGATAATGAAATCCTTTCTAGGGTCATTCACACTGTAACTCTACTCTGGTATGTACAGAAGTTATCAGTTCCTTACGAAAGTGAAGGCAACTATAGTACTAGTAAGCTGCTTGACAGCATGCCCAGGAATGATGTAATGGCCAAACTGTGCTTAGGTAAATTCAATGTGGCTTACTGGTGTGATCTGGATTGAAAACAACTAACACCACCACCTACTTTGTATGAATTATCATAACTGACAGTCACAGTGACTTTTGTTTTGTTCTGTTACAGCTTACTGCTGATAATATGGACCTACAGAAAACCTTGGAGGCTGCATACGACTCACAGAATTATCTTACGAGAGAGGTAAAATTGTTTGATTATTTTACACATCATTTTCTGGCACATTTATCGAATGAATATGTTTCTTTTTTTTAGCTTGTCTGTTTTGAAGAAAAAGTTGAGCCTTTATGATAGCTGTGGAGTTGTTGTCTTTGTCATTATGCGAACATTTTAATGCAGCCCATTATTCAAATATTTCAAAAGGCTTCGACATGAAATTTGGAATACTTACTTATCATGACAAGGTGCAGTTGTTTGACAAGGAGCATAAATCTGAAAGCAATATTTTTGGAGTTATGCCCCTTTTTAACTTTTAATTTTTAACAGGAGCATTATCACTGCATGAGGTATTTGGCTTGATGAATATTTATAGAAATATGGCATATTTTAATGCTTATTTCCTTTCGTTTTTTTTCTTGCAATGAAGCAAATAAATTAAGTTACAAAAAACTTTAAAGGTCAAAGTTCAAAAAAATTTAAAACAAAAAGCATGGGCGGAACCTTTACACAGCATTGAAACACTTTAAATTCTTTTCTAAATTGTTATCCACACCTCTCTTTAAAGTATATACAAAGCATGTTGTCTTATTTTCAGCTTGCATACAAGCATATTTTTGTTGTTAAATTTCAATTTGAAATTTCATTAAATGGACCGGATTTATAAGAAATAAGTCAAACTGATAACCCTGATGTGTTCACAACTCTTGAAACTAATTTAACTTGGACTTAAATTTGTCTGCTGATAAGATGTTTTTGCTGTTGATTAAAGGATCTAATTGAAGCATGTTTGTTGCCAATATGACCGAAAAACCATGTGAAATACTGGTGTAATGTCAGCAAAAAACTAGGAAAAAAGTCTACTTTATCAGATTAGGTTTATTTTTTACCCGGCAAACAAACATGATAAACGCAAGTTTTTATGCTATTTTGCTAAATACCAGGAATAATTTAAGGTAAATGAAAGGTCTAGATAAACAGGTTTGAATGGAAAAGGTCTAAATCGTTTTCTAGTATAAAGCCTAACTTGACAAGAATTTCTTACTGTTTGTCAACATTGGCAATTTGTTAGCCTGATTAATTAATACAAAAATAATCTAGTAGTGAAAAAAACTTTTATGCATTTTACAGTCATACCTATTTTAAAGACCACTTCTGAATAAACAGCACCATGTAAATAAAGACCACTGTGACAATCCTTCATTTATTAAGCTGTGAACAAAGGTCATCCAAGGGAGAGAATGAACATGGCCTTTATAGACAAGTGGCCTTTATTTGAAGGTTATGTTGTTTATTTGATCAATAAGGGACTGTCCATTTTGCTAATTTTTGAAGTGTAATGGTTTATCTTAAGATAAAACTTATTGAACAATGCATATTTACAGATTGCTGACTTAAAAGAGAAAAATGAGGAAATTTTGGCTCTTCTTGAAGAAACGCAGGAAGAGTTACGAAGGTTCCGAAGCAAAGAGCGACCAAGCGTGATGCGACATAGCTTCATGTCTCCAATGTTTAACTCGACAGGAGAGTCACTGGCATCTGAGTTAGAGAACTCCATGCGAAGTGAGGTCGACTATCCCAAGGGCTACTCGTCCATGGAAAGAAAGTAAGAAGTTAAATTTTTCGTAATTGTCGAGATATTGTAAATATAATGTATAATGCCTATATATTCATGCTTACTCTCAAGAATGTTTTGAAAATGTGTTTAAAATATGAAATTTTGTGAAGTGAACAAAGAAAGTAATTTACACATTGCAAATGACACTTGCAGGTCACTTATTTTATAGAAGGAAAAAAAATAATGAGGAAATTTTAAGTGTCTTCAGAACTATCTGGTGTTGGAAAATATGTTCAAGTTAAGAACAAGATTCCCCATGTATATCTGTTTATATAAAATGAAAAAAAGGCATTTTTGTGTAAACCTGACTTCAAATCAAGTGATTTAGTAGCAAAAGATTTACATGCTTGCTCTCGTGCATGGAAACAGGATATTTATATATAAAAAAAATTTGATCATTTATAAAATTAAAAGAAAGGGTGTTAGTGTAAATCTGCATTCTAAAATTTTGGTCAAGATAAAGAGTGATTTAGTAGATTAAGATTTACATTTTCTCTAGCTTGCATGGGAAATAAGATAATTATAAGAAATTATTTACTTCAGGGAACTGTTAAGATAGAGAGAAAACACCCTACTTTAACATTAGAATAAAAGGATGTAACACTAAACAGGATAGCTGCGTTGGGGGGGATTTTTTTAATTTGACTATTTCAAGAATAGGGAGAGCTATTGTACTCACCTGGATGTCGGTGTCACTGTCACACTTTGGTTAAGTTTTTATGTGCAAGTTTGTATCTCCAAAACTACTGAAGGGAAGTGGCCGAAATTTCCCACACTTATTTGAGAGCATAATAGGAGGCCACTTTCCTAGGCCCATAAATTAATAATTGCCCTTTTTGAACATAGAAAATTCTACATTATCCAGGCTCTTGTTTTACTCTATAATAAAACCCCACAGAGAATAGTTGAGATTGTTGTTCTACTGTCAGGTCTTGTTTAGCACATATTATATTGTAAATCAGAGGATTTTGCAATATTTTACTATTTTTATGCCCCCGCCATGTAATGGCCGGGGCATATAGTGTTACCCTGTTCCGTCATTCCGTCCTTCCGTCCTTCCATCCTTCCGTCATTCTGTCATTCCGTCATCATCAGTTTCCGTTCATTATCTTAAGAACGCTTGCACACATTCAACTCAAATTTGACATATGGATATGTCATGAGAAAATACAGGTCAAGTTCGAATTTGGTCATGGTTCGTTAACCTTTGGCAGAGTTATGCCCCTTTTACTTTGAAAATAATATGAAATTTCAGTTTCCGTTCATTATCTCCCCAATGGTACAACACATTCAACTCAAACTTGACATATGGATATGTAATGAGAAAATACAGGCCAAGTTCGAATTTGGTCAAGGTTCGATGATTTTTGGCAGAGTTATGCCCCTTTTACTTTGAAAATAATATGAAATTTTCTGTTTCTGTTCATTATCTCCCCAACGGTACAACACATTCAACTCAAACTTGACATATGGATATGTCATGAGAAAATACAGGTCAAGTTCGAATTTGGTCTTGGTTCGATGATTTTTGGCAGAGTTATGCCCCTTTCACTTTGAAAGTAATATGAAATTTTCTGTTTCTGTTCATTATCTCCCCAACGGTACAACACATTCAACTCAAACTTGACATATGGATATGTCATGAGAAAATACAGGTCAAGTTCGAATTTGGTCTTGGTTCGATGATTTTTGGCAGAGTTATGCCCCTTTCACTTTGAAAGTAATATGAAATTTTCAGTTTCCGTTTATTATCTCCCCAATGGTACAACACATTCAACTCAAATTTGACATATGGATATGTTTTTGGAATGCCCAGGCCAAGTTCGAGTTTGGTCATGGTTCAATGATTTTTAGCAGAGTAATGCCCCTTTCACTTTGAAATAATATGAAATTTACAGTTTCTGTTCATTATCTACCCAGCAGTGTTACATATGCAACTTAAATTTGACATATGGATATGTCAAAGGAATGGGCAGGTCAAGTTGGAATTTGGTCATGGTTTGATGATTTTTTGGCAGAGTTATGTCCCTTTCACTTTGAAAATAATATAGATACATCTTAGGAATAAGCAGTTTAAGTTTGAATTTGGTTGTAGTTCAATGATTTAAGACAAACTTATCTTTCCTGAATGTTGGAAAAATTTTGAACTTTCACTTTCAGCACTCTTACTTTTAGCCATTATTTTGGCTACAAATATGCAATATGCTATTTTTAAAAGGTTTAGACTGAATAATTTCAGTGCCTTGAACATTGTATGAAAATGGTTTGTGTTAACTTGAAAAGTTTTAAGGGCTTTGAACTTAAAATGAAAAAAATAATTAAAGCACCATCTGAAATTTTGGCTGCATGCGGGGGCATCCGTGGCATGATGACACATTTCTAGTTTTTTTAGTCCCCTACCGGTTTACCGGAGGGGACTTTAGGTTTACCCTCCGTCCGTCTGTCTGTCCGTCCGTCCGTCCGTCTGTCAGTCCGTCAGTCCGTCCGTCCCCAAAACTGGATCCAGCGATAACTTGAAAAGTACTGAAAATATTTTTATGAAACTTGGTATATGGATAGATGGCAGTATGGAGATTATGCACGTCTTTTTCTTTTCTTCCTATGTTAAAAATTCTGGTTGCTATGGCAACAAATAGGCTGAAAATATGGCAAATTTTACACATAATCTGGATCCAGGGATAACTTGAAAAATACTGAAAATATTTTTATGAAACTTGGTATATGGATAGATGGCAGTATGGAGGTTATGCACGTCTTTTTCTTTTCTTCCTATGTTGAAAATTCTGGTTGCTATGGCAACAAATAGGCTGAAAATATGGCAAATTTTACACATAAACTGGATCCAGTGATAACGCAAAAAGTACTGGAAATATTTTTATGAAACTTGACATATGGGTAGATGGCAGTCTTGAGATTATGCATGTCTTTTTCTTTTCTTCCTATGTTGAAAATTCTGGTTGCTATGGCAACACATAGACTGAAAATATGGCAAATTTTACACATAAACTGAATCCAGTTATAACTCAAAAAGTACTGGAAATATTTTTATGAAACTTGACATATGGGTAGATAGCAGTCTTGAGATTATGCATGTCTTATTCGTTCTTCCTATTTGAATAAAATATCAGTTGCCTTGGCAACAAATAGGCTTAAAACATGGCAAATATAACAATATTTGTGATTAGTCAAAAAGAGCTGAAATTTTTTATGAAATTGCATCTTTAATTCAAGAGTTATCTCCTCTTTAAGAATTTTGCTTTTAAAAGGTTATATTTTGGTAACAGGGATGTTCAAATATTAACTTTAGAGTGTCCTTCAGTCCGTCTGTCTGTTCATAAAAACTGTTTCCTGTGATCACTTTTAAAGAACTTTTCCAACAAATTTACTTAAAATAGAGAAAAATTGAAACATTAGTGAATGGCCAATGGCCCTTCAGAATGTTGATGGGGTTCTAACCGGTAGGGGACTTATGGATTGCTTGCAATACTATGATAATTGCTTGTTATACTTAACTATTTATAAAAATAGTGAACTTGTATTGATCAAATGAAAATAAAAATTATATTTTGATCCAGGAAGCATACATGGAAGGTATTTGAAACTGCTAAAGCTGCCAAATCACCTGCTCGCCATGGATCTGGTTCCTCCTGTGCTACAAGCATGCTGGGAGCCAGCCTAGCTGACAATGATGACTCACGATCTGTGTCCCAGAGAAGCTCTATGTACTTCAGTGATACAGAGTCCGCTGTCAGTGAAAACTGTACTGGTGAACTTGAATCTCTTTATGGGTATGTTCTGCTTTCCTCTGTCTGATTTTAAAAAAGCCCGTTACCACTGTAGGTCTGAATCCCACCTTGGACTTTGGTAGGTCTGAATCCTGTCTTGAAATTTGGATTCTTTCATATGAGGAAGCTACCCAGCTAACTAACGGAACTACTCAATTCTACTCAGGTGCCTGCTTTTCCTGAAATAATGCGTAGAGACGCAACTTGGGTCTTCCTCCTCCAGTATAGCTGGAAAGTCACCATATGACCTTTACTGTGTTGGTGCAAGGTAAAACCCAACCAGAGAAACAAATGATTTGTGTATGTTGTTTAGGATGGTGGTTTTGCTCATCTTGAAAGCATAACAGCTTTTATGTGCTAAAAACCCAAAATAAAGAAAAACAAAAAAAACAAAACAAAAAAAACTCAATAAGATAGTGTTACAGATGGAACTTAATTCAGATTTTGTCATTGATCAATTGGTAAATTATATTCTTTTTAGTAAATTACTTTTACAGTAGTAAGTCTGCCATGCTGAGATATATACAATAATATATAAAACACAGAATATCCATTTTTCAGTGCCACACCGTCTCGTTACGGTAAGCCTGGTATCCCAGGCTCCAACGACTTGCACACAGCTCTACGGCGCCTCTCAATGAGGCGAGCCAATGAGATAAATGAAATGGACTATGCTAAAGAAGAAAGGGAGAGGCAAGAACGGGAGCAGAAACAAAGGGAAAGGTTATTTATTTTTTAATGATTTACGTGTTAACTTTCAAACTGCTAATTTTAGCTAGATTTCAGCAATAGTATATTGATAGAAATACTCCATTTCTGATGTGTGGAAAATTCTATCCAGCTAGCTTATGGAATGTTGATGGTTCTACTTAGGTGCCCTTTTGTGCCTTAAATAAATCGGAGGGGCACTCTATTAAAGTAAAGCTATGACCTCTACTGTGTTAGTGTGAAGTAAAACCCAACCAAAAATCAAACCTAAAAGTCTAGAAACTTATTTAACTACAGTCTAACTTGCCCATGCTACCACGTGTATTAAGCGACTTTTGTCTTAAACGACCACTTTAAATTCCCCCGATCATTTTTTCTCTATATCTTTAATGTATTAAGCGACTTTTGCTCAACGCGACCAGCGACCGCTAATTAGTCACCTTATTGACATAAAGTTTTTCATTAAACGACCACTTTTACCTGTCAAGTAATTTTGTTTTTAGAGAACGCCGCCTTGTAATGTCACAAGTGTCAACAATCAAAACACAACAAATAAACGTGTGAAAAGCTCTATTTCCCAAACCGTTTTAGCGTATGCAAATGAAGGTAAGTATACGCGTGACGTGTATTATCCAATAGTATCGGATAAACAATGCAACGCTCCGCCCCTACTGAGATGGTGTATACGCTTCGCTTGTTGACATTTAGACTGCATTAAATTGACCTTGAACTTGATCAGCAGTTAAATTGATCGTAACAATTAGATGTAATTTGTTTATTTCAAATGAAAAAATGCACAACAGAAAACATCTTCACTTATAGGGTTTTCGTGTTGGAGACAAGGAAAAACAACGGAGAAATTAACAAATTCTGGTAAAAATGTCAAACATGTACGTTATGGATCAAAACTGTTTTGCACCCTGTTTTGTCAATAAATATCAGAAAGTTATTTTTTACATTTGCATCCATTTAGATTATCGGAGCGTACTAATTATTCAACATTTATATAAAAATGAAGTTAAAAAACATTCCTACCACATAAGAAAGATGTCATTTATAAATTTTGACTTTAATATCATGCTGACTGTCTTAAGAGAAACGTTTCATTAAGCGATCCATTTTGGGGTTTCCCCTTGCCGTCGCTTAATACATCGTTTGACCTGAGTCAGAGGTTTGTTTGCAGTTAAGATTTGGAGAAGGCAGTAACAATTTCCTGAGGCAATTTTTTACCAACCGACTAGGAGATTCTGAAAAGAACTGAATTACAAAGACAGTTTCAATTCTTAAAACCAAATTCGTAGTGAAATTTATTACATAGAAATCTTATGACAAAAGCATGGAGGAATTCTCTTTATAATCATATTATATATAATCAATTTGAATATCATTGAATTTCTAGAACTGTCGAGTGGAGTTGATCTACAAGTAGAAGAGTGATACTGAGAATCGGCGACACGCAGGTTCGGTGCCGGACACCCGAACAAGCAGAATGTTTGCCGGCCAATCAGTTGAGTTTCGGTTACATGTCGATGACGGGAAGCAGTACAAACCCTCATTACAAGATGCCAGAAAAACTTCAGATCATTAAACCTCTGGAAGGTAGGCTTGAACATTGGCATGTCCCGCCCCTCTTTTCTCAATCCTTATGAGCTGTGCCATGACAAAACCAACATAATGGGTTTGCGACCAGCATGAATCCAAACCAGTCTGTGCAGTCTGATCAGGATCCATGCTGTTCGCTTATAAACCCTATAACAAGTTGAAAAACTGATAGCAAAAAGCATGGATCTTGATCAGACTGTGCGGATGCGCAGGCTGGTCTGGATCCATGCTGGTCGCAAACGCATTAAGTTGGTTTTGTCATGGCGCGGCTCTTGTGTCCTAATTCCCTCCGATTTTTGGTGATAATACCTTCTATGGAATAATCCTGCAGAGACCCATTGATTTTTAAGTTGGTTGAACTTGTCATAAGGAAACCACCACATTCAAACAAAAATACAAAGACTCAATACTTTAAATACAGAATAAGTTTGTAATGACAGTTTCTGATATCTTCCTGGAATATGATAAAGTCTTGTTGAGAAGAGCCCTTACTGGAAATAGTGGATTATAAGTTAATAACTCATGGAAAAATTTACATTAAATATAATATGGCATAAACTTAAGATTCTCAGTTGTAACGTTGCCAAATCATCAGAATTAATGAGTGACTTAAGGTTGTAGAACATGCAGTCTTAGGCAAATATTGAATTAAATTTGGTACTATTTTAATGTTGAAAATATCAGATTTTTAAACATGATTTATTGGGTTATATATTACTTCGAGAAGGCTTCAGTGACATTAACGTCGTGCAAGAGAACTGGCCAAATCCACCACCTCGAGGAAATTTTGAAAAACCCGATACCTCGGTGGAGAAATAGGGAGAGAAATGTACGAAAATGCAACCTCAGAACCAGAAGTTTTATACTCCTCAGTCAATTAACTGAAGAAGAATTGGTAGATAATTTAAGACCGCGATATTCCCCCAAAAAAACGGACAAGAACCAACACAGTGCCAATTTGCTAATCCCCAGCATGGCTCCAGTACCAGCCTGCTGCATCCTCTGCGGCAGTCTGATCAGGATCCATGCTGTTACGCTATATCCAGTTTCTCATACTTATAATACGTGTTTGCTAATACGAATAGCATAGAATCTTGATCAGACTGGGGGATGGGCAGGCCTTGTCCTGGATCCATGCTGGTGCAAAGCACACGCATTATGATTCGGCTTTTGTCAATGAACCGCGGCTACTCATTTTTAAGCAAACAAATCTTTATTTTCATGCCTTATGCATTTTACATTTACTTAAGACCTATGAAAGCTTTTCCTTAAATATTTGAACCAATTTAGATATAACATTAAAACTAATAATAATATCTATGAAATAAAGTAGTGCATTTCTGGGCATCAAGTTTTATAACTCGGAGATGATGTCTGTATCATGCTAAGAAAACAACCTAAATTATAAATTAACAGAATTTACATAAGTAAATTTCAAATAATAATAAATAATAAGGATTTAAGGATTTCAAGGCAAAGTCATATAAGTGCATCAGATTCTACATGTGAGAAATCTATCCAGCTAGCTTAGGGAACATCGGTGGTTCTACTCGGGTGCCATTTGTTGCCTGAAATCATGCTACAGAGGGGCCCCTGAGGTCTTTCTCCACTAGTTAAGCTGGAAAGTTGCCATATGACCTATACCATGTTGGTTGCGACATAAAAACCCAACCAAAAAAAAAAATTAAAAAAATTATCATATTATAAAATATGTAAATGAGCTAAAAATATTCTGTATTACACGAATGAAGATAGTGGAAGTATTCAATGACCGGACTTCCAAGAAAGCTCAGGTGTATATACAATCATAAACAGAACTATCCGTCGTGTTAGACATCGCCTCAATCGCAGGCGGACAGGTTGGGTTGATTATTTTAGGGAATGATAAAATAGTATGCAATAATGGTAAAAAATGTTGTATAGGCTGTTGTGATAGTGTTAGCTGGAAACTTTGTGCAGTAGGTAGAGATTGACTGTCAGACCTCTAGGGATAGAAAAATACCCAATTAGTGTGTTTTAAATATAAGGTTTTGGCTCTTCTTTATACAAAAATAAATTTGGACATGATCAAGTGGGATTTATTAAAGTGCTTTCTCTCCTCAGAATTTTGCTTTATGAAAATAAATTTAATACTTAACAGCTGAAAAAGGGCTATATTGCTAAATGGGGGTTGGGTTTTGGCAAAGGGGGAGGGATTGTCTGTTAGGACTGGATTGGTTAATGTCTTTACGATGATAAAATAAACAGATGTTTAAGCATGGAAAGGAATATGTTGCATATAGAATGTTGAATTAGAAAGAATAAAGAACAGTGCTGAAGCATGCTTTGAGACTATTTTATTTTGAGATTTGTTGTTGTAGTTGTTGTTGATGTGGAAATTTTTTTTATCTAAACAGAAAGGAATTTAATTGCATCATTCTAAATTTATGGAAAGTGTTTGAGCTATAGGTCTTTTTTTTTAAATTTTAGAAATATAGATGTTTGTACAAGGTGAGTTCAATGTAGGAAAAATGGTGTATAAGATATATTAGATACAGGGTGACAGGCTTTATTTAAATATATATCATTTTTGTATATCTTTGTGCATCTGTGTGATACCTTTCTAGAGAAGAACTTAGCTTCAAACCAATGGTCAAGGCCTAGACAGGTGAACTTAGCAGACAGTTTCATTTAGCAATAAACACAGTCATGGTGATTAACACTTTTAATTTTAATATGGTTGCTCTAAGCAATAGACTCTTGAGTCATTAACACATGTAACAGTTAGTTGCACTTAGCAATAAACACAGACAGGTGCATCTGGCCATGAGTAGGTAGTCATTGATATTTTCAGGGTGACTTATCAATAACAAAAGACCAAAAATATTCTCCTAATAATTGTGCTCCTTTGCATAAGACATAGAGGAGTTGCAACATTTCATCAATTCAATCTTTGATATCCATAAATAAAGAATTGATGACTATAGTAGTAGTGAAAGAGATAAGCATAATCGGGATCTTTGTTTATTTTGTTTGATTCCCATGTGACATTTGATTTCAGAAATGATATGGAGTTTAATGGTGGCACACATAAACAATCCAATACCAAGTCATGTTTTCCAAATCTAGTTTTCTTATTTTATAATCAAGTCCAAAATGCATTGAAGCAGCGCAAAGCACACATTTTTCTCTTTTCTCTTTACTATCAATTCCCTTTCTCTGGTACTATAGTTTTCATCACAAAAAGGTATTTTGTTCAAACATTCAAACCTCAGTTTTGAAACCATTAAAATATTGAAAATGGTAATTTTGTGAGAAGTATTCACGATTTATGTCACAGGTCACATGGGATGGCCACCCTAATTTAGTTATTTCTATGCACAGCATGTTTAGGTTATGTTTTGGTTTTATTTGCAAAAAAATGTTTGTGCTAAATACTTACTTTTTGCATGTTTTACTGTTATTTATTGAAATATTAAATAGGGATCAAATTGGGGAAGGAATTCAGACATTCAAAGTCTATTGACTTGAAAAGGTTTGGTGCAAAAAAACTAAAATTGGCTATTTATTTACTAAAACAAATAAATGCCTAGCATTAAAGGGATAGAAAGCTATAGTTGGCTGAATATATGTATAGATTTACTAAAACAATTTCATTGTTTTTTTGGACAAAAATAAACATGCCTATGTTGATCTTAGACTTAAATTATTATTTATAAAGTTTTTGAAAGGATATATAGTCCTATATAAATGGTTGTATATATAACATGTGCCTTTAGACTGGGTTTATAATGAAAATAACCATTTATATACTGCCATATAACCTGTCAAGAATCTTTTTAAGGAATTTATAATACTGCAAACTTAGATTATCAAAGAAAAAAAAAATGAAATAACCTCATAAATCGACTGCAGCTGTATTATATAAACATCACAATTATCCAATGAAATTGATGTTACAAATGTGCAGTATCAAAAATTACAAAATAAAACATTTTACAACAAATTATTAAAGTTATGCTGTTCTAAGTAAGTTTAGCAATGAAAGATTTCTACAGCGTGCTACTTCAAAATACAAACTTTTTTCTCTTTTTCTTAGACAGCCAAATATAGTTCTATACCCTTTTAAAGAAACATGCCTCTTGACGAGTTTGAAATTTTCACTTTATCTCCTCTATTTGAGACTTTTCTTTAAAGGTTCCTGGACATAAATCAAAAGGCATGTTCCTTTGATTAATTTTAGTATTCATACTTGTTTTTTTTTTTAAAGTTTTTGATAATTCCTTAATTAAGATTTTTTTTTAAAGCTATTTCTCACAACCATTTTCTTAAAAGCTTTTTATAACATTGTTGTTTGTTTGTTTTAATATTATTTTTAATGCTTGAATTTTTGTTTTCAAACATTAAAACCAAATGCTGAGAAAATGCATACTTTACACGGCATAAATATACCCCACTTTAAGGAAGTTTTATTGGTTACTGGTTATTGAATTTTCTTACTGGTTTTTAGCTTAAAACCAACTGGATCCATTTCAAAGAATAAATCCAGGCTCCCAGCTTGAATTTTTAGTATTGTCCAAAATTTTCAACTTTAACCCATGCAAACATGACTACCTCACCTCAAAAAAACAATGAAGGATAAATTCTTTGCAAATATACTAAGTGTTGAAAAGTATGCGTTTTCAAAAGCTGTTTTTGTGAAAGAATTGATAGGAATGATTACAAAGCATGAGTAAATGTTGAATGCTTACCTTATTGACAGTGATGTGGACACTGATTCTGTGACAACTGTTGTGGAAGAAGAGTAAGCATGCTACTGCTAGTGCCAAAACCCCCTGTTTTAATACAGTTGGACTTGTCCGTACAGTCACCTTTTATATATATGGGAGAGTTCAATTATCAATGGGAGGGGTATTTTATAAAAAAAAATCTCTGTGTCGGCGATTTATTATCACGCAAATTCACATTTCTGCGAGATTTTCTGATGTTTTTGACACAAGAAAATTTACCTATATCTAAATCTGCGTGTTGTCAAATTTTTTTTTATGGAAATCAAAAAGTAACAAAAATTAAGTTGCAAAAGTGAAAAAAAAAGAAATTATGATAAGGAAGAAGTAAATTATTCTGTTATGGATGAAAATGTGAACTCCATAGGCCAATGAATCTCTTGCAAAGGATTATGGGTCAGGATTGGAAAATTTCTATTTTTAGAGCTTCTTATCCCTCTGTAATGTAAGTCTAAGGTTATTTAGTAATTTAAATTACATTGGTACTGGGATTTTCTGGCTTAAAAGAAAGACGGATGTCCCTCGGGGGCATCTCTTCATGATTCCAAGCACAAAACCTTTTTTTTTCGAATTTTGAAAAAGAATATATTTCTAAAATGCCTATATGAAAGGAATTTGTTGGTATATTGCCTTTAAGCTATTCAGCTAGCTTACTGAACATGGTTTTACTCAGGTGCCCGCTCATTGAGCCTGAAATAAGGAATATAAGATTAACAATATAGTTTTACCTTTTTTAAATTTTATGAAAATATTACATAAGATATAGCTTCATACAAATGTACCCTATAAGGTGTCTTTCTGGGAAAGGTTCAGTTTCCTATAGTTGGCATATTTTATCAGTTTTTTTCAAACTTTCTTATAAAGGTGACTGTTACAGACAAGTCTAAAGGTTGTTTTGAACTTTGCTTGTTTTTTTCTTTTCTGTTTTTCGTTTGCAATTAATGCATATATTCATCATAACTCATTGACATGCCACTATCTTTACAGTGTTGTTTGTTGATTTGTATTGCACGTAATTTGAGAAGATTGATGACTTTAAGACTTTTAATAAATTAATTTAGTGTGTTTTGCCTGTGATTAATCAAATATGTTTAAAACAGCCACCTCAAGATTAATGCAAATTTTAATAAAAATTCTTCAAAGTGTTCCTTTTTATGCAAATAATATTGTTTTAAAGTGTACAAATAAAGTGATTCAACCAAGTATATACGATACTCATCAGTGATTACCAAAAATTTATCAAAATACTCAAAAGATAACTGTTACGCTATCATTTCTTGGGTATAGAAATTTGATTAAAATAATAATAAAAAATCAATTTATTTTTAGATTTACAAACTTGTTGAAACTTTAAGATTTTAGTTTCTTTTTCATTTTGATTAAATTATGACTATTAGGGTTTACAAATAGTTTTTAATATGTTGTATATCCAGTAACACAGAAATGTGCAAATTACACAGTAATTGTGCATAAGTAATGTGGAATTTTTTATTTCTATGGCCGAGTCATATATACGCTGATCCATTTCTTTTCATTTGATGTACGACAAAATATTTTGGTCTGTTTACATTACCATTTTTCTTGTGTCTGTCATAGCTTTCCCACATTGGGTGTTTCTTTTTGCACAGTATCTGCTTTAATTTGTCATTCCTGCGTTACTGGATATACACAGTGTAAAATTTTGTTGATTTCATAGGAATATTTCGGGTTTCGAAGACTGGAAAAGAAAGCACATGACTGTTTTATTATTTCGCAGACTTTAGTTTTTCAATACCCATATAATATTGGTTAGTTGCTCTAAGGTTTAAAGTATTGTTTAAAAATTAACGTTGATTTCACAGGAGTTTTTTTGGTTTCCACAACTGGATTAGAAACCAAATATTCAGCATATTGTCAGGAATGTACCACCTGTTTCGCATATTTCTGTTCCCATGTATGTATGGCCATATCTTTATCAAACAGGTGCTTTGGAATGGGTCGTTCAACCTTGTGTGAATTGTATTTTGTAGATGTTAGAGCTTTTTTTTTTTCATTTTTAGCTCGTCTGTTTTGAAGAACAAATGAGCCGCGTCGTGACAAAACCAACATAATGGGTTTGCGACCAGCATGGATCCAGACCAGCTAGCGCATCCGCGCTGTCAGTCTGATCAGGATCCATGCTGTTCGCTATCAGTTTCTCTACTTGTTATAGAGTTGTAAGGGAACAGCATGGGTCCTGATCAGACTGCGGATGCGCAGGCTGGTCTGGATCCATGCTAGTCGCAATCCCATTATGTTGGTTTTGTCATGACGCGGCACAAATCTAGTTATTATCACTGTGTCATTGTTGTCTTTGTGCAGAAACTTTAATGTAGACCCTGATTCAAACATTTTTAAAGGTATCAAAATGGCACTTAGAATACTTGCTTATCATGGCAAGCTGCAGTTGTAAGACAAAGGGGGATTATCATGAAAGCAATATTTTGTAGGAGTAATGTCCCTTTTTAACTTGGATTTTTTTGAAAAATCAGGTATTGAGAGGCAATGATGTTATAGACAAGCATTTACACTGTTTCACTTGTTCGAAAAGCAAAAGAAAAGGTTGTGTGGGTCGAGAGTGGGGGGGATAAGGTGTAGTCATAATTATGAGCCATGCCACGACAAAACCAACATAATGGGTTTGCGACCAGCATGGATCCAGACCAGGCTACGCATCCATGCAGTCTGATCAGGATCCATGCTGTTTGCGTACCAACTCTATTACAAATAGGTCCAGTCTTAATAAAATTGTTACATAATTATAAAGGATAAGTTTTGAATTTAAAACTGATACAGCTATTATATATCCCTGTGGCAATACTGTCAAGAGAGCATATCTAGGGATTGTATTTTTTAATCCTTACCTTACTACCAAATTAAGACAATATTATTTTGGATAAGATTATCAAGAGCATTAATTGTATAATGTTTTACAGGTTCAATCTTAATTATTAATAGAATAGACCCACAGTTCCTATTTGTGTTGCCTATGTGAGTTTCTGGTGGCAAATGTATGTAAGTATGCCAAAGCACACACATATAAAGCAATGCCAAGTACATGCATTGTAAAGTTATTGACATAAGAGTTTTTTAGGATTTCTTTGGTTACTGTATTCTGAAATTGTATGAAACTCTACCTCTTTCAAACTTGTATCTGGAGATTTACAAAAACCTGATCTTCTTATTCAATTTGTACATGTTTATGTGTGGAAAATTATGTCAGATTATAACTTTCTAAATTGTCTTTCATTTTGCATTATCACCAGTACAGACAACATTCCTTGTAATTTTTCAGTATCAGGTTTGCAATAAAGTCTGGAAATTGAAAAAAAAAATTGCTTGCAAAAGCTTTGCTGTAGAAAAGGAGCATGCTCTAGTCTGAAGTTATATTCTTTTGATTTTTCTGTGCTTGAAATGATATATTCATCAAACAGCAGTGTAATGCATATTTATCTGGCATTAGAATAGATAGAAAGAGCTATTTTTAGACACTGAATATTTCATAAACCTCTACTTGTATTATTTACAAGATTATACTGTAAACAAACATTAGTTTCTAACGTTTTGGAACTTTAAGTGGTTGGCCTTTGCAACCAGTATATGGCTATGCCAGCTTGCACATCCATGCGTTATGATCAGATTTTATACTGTTGGTAGCTCAATATTTGTATTTTGTCATTGAAATTCCTTAGAGTTTTAAATGGACTGCTCCAAAACAGGACAAATCCATTTCACAAATTAGAGTGGTTTAGGGTAAATAAGAGGGAGTAGGATGAATTTTACTGCAAATCAACACAAATAAGTAATATATAGCGAAAAGAAGGCAGTGGCCTTCATGTAATTATATATCTGCCTTATTATATTCACTGGGATCATAGGTCACGCACCCAAGGATATTGTAAGTTTAATAGGCCATGATACCATTTTTTCAAGTACATTATAAATTTTGTACATGCCATCACTGGTCATTCTGTTTAGAAACCTGGTTAGTTTTGAAGATTATCTCAAATCTGTACTTTTTTATCAATCCAGCTAAAATGACTTGATTCAGACATTGAAGGTAAAAAAAATTGTAAAATCTTGATCAGAAAATGGCTTTTGCAAACTTTTTTCTGACGGGTACAAAAGTAGAGAAAATAATAGAAAAGAAAAAACAAGAGGTTTAAGGTTTTCTGTGTATAACTGACAGTTAAAAAGATGTAATAGTTAATTATCATATTAATGAAAAGTATTATGTAAGGTTTTCATCAGTGAGGTTTTGCTTATTTCATATCACAATTAGTGTAATATAGAGCTAGGCTTTTATATACAAGCAAATCAGGTGATGTTTTTAAAGCTTCAAGCTTAAAATGTTGCCACTGACAAAAGGTTTGGGTTCTTAACAGTGAAAGGCGGGGTTAATTTAAAAGTCGAGGCTCATATGCAAGTAATTGCAAGCATTACAGTCATAAGAGAGGATTCTAATTAGCATAAAGGTTTTTAAAGGAAATGGTGATATTCTGAATTTTGATATTTTGTTATTGATTGATCAGATTTATTTTTTTTTCAATTTTTTTTTCAATTTTTACTTTGTCTTTTTTAAACTCTTGTTAGGGGAGAAATTTACATAATAGATCAGAAGTAAATGAGCAATGATTTGAGGTCTATTATGTTGTGTATAATTATATAACTTTGTTTATTTGCAGAATCACCTCTTCTTTTACCTCATCATCACCACGGATGGCATTAGGTCGTGTAGCCGAGAATCATGGTACCAGCACATTCAGTATGTCACTGGGGCTTGCGTCCATTCTCAACGAGCGTGATTTAAAGGAAGAAAGTCAGCCAGGAATCAGACATCATAATGTTAGTTCTAATCCCGCACGATTCCCGAGTCTTAGTAGTGATCAGCATTTTAAGGCTGGACATACTTCAACGCCATTAACGACCTTGACCCTACCAACAAACTCTTATAAACTTATACCCTCACCAGTAACCTTACCGCAAAGGTCAGAAAGAAGTTTTGATGGTTCAGTATCATCATGGCAAGGGATCTCAAGTACATTAGGGTCACAAAGGTCAAATAGTGTTTTTAGTTCACCGGGTCAGCAGGGGTCAGTACTTAGTACCAATGCAAATGGTACTGAAAATGCAAACTCAGACTCAAATAGACTGAAAGTGATAAATAAACTGAAGACTACAGGGTTTTCACTTTACGGATATATTACTGGAGCAGTGCCCGTAAATGCATCAGGGGAAGATAACTCTAGACCGAGTTCACTTCCTTTACCTACAGTGACGACAGCAGGTGCCACTGCTTTAAATTCAGTTGCCACGGTAACAGAAAGTGTTACAACATTGACAACTGTTACTGATAATGTAGATATTGACAGTATGGTTACCATGGCAACTACAACAGCTGAGTCACGAAGAAAATCGCATTTATCATCAATTTTGGCGCGGAAAACTGCTGGGGGGGTTATTGGGGCCTTGACAAAGTGGCATAAAGATGGGTCATTATGATGAGTAATGAATAATAAATAAAATAGTTATTTTTAACGTAGATTTTAATATGCCAAACAATGTGATAATACTGAAAGTGATAAAGAAAGTATTTATTTTATATTACAAGTAGATAATGTAGGTTTTGATAGTACATGTTACACACAAATTTATATATAAGGAAAAAGATTTTTTTCTTCCTTTCACACCATATTAATTAGGCAATGGCTTATTTAAACATATTTATATATAGCGCAATTTTAAAATGATGCTAAATGTTAGCTTAAATATTTTTTTGAACAAAGCCACCATATTGATACAACACAATTTTTAAATTGATGAATTCCATACAAACATAATGGGTCTAAATTTATGCAGTTTGAAGAATGCATGTGTTCAATTTTTATAGACAATACTATGATTAGAATAATAATCATTTGTGAGTTACATCAGAGTTGCAGATTGTATGCCTTATTCAAGAAATATTCTAGGGTCGTTTGTGATTGTTTAAACCCTGGAATACTTCAGTAAGACTCTTAGAATTCTTTTTTTAATTTTACAAAATTATTGTGAATCGGTTCATAACACTCGCCTATTGCAACACTTCCATTTGATTTTGAATTAAATGAAAGATTTTAGATGAATAAATATGAAAATTTGCCATTTATTGGGCATTAAGTAGGCATATATCTTATTCATTTTCAATATTTCACTTCAATGATAAAAATTATGGAGACACTTTTTTTTGAAGTTTGAAAGTATTTAATATTTTACATCTCATTTCTTTTCTAATTCTGTCATTCATCATTCATTCATTCTGTCAAAAAATTCTCATTTTTTTAAACCTCTTCGGTGCTAGAATTTTTTTTTTATCTTTTTTTGTTGTTTTTTTTGGAAAAAGAAATAGAGAAGAGCATTTATTCATTTATAGACCAGAGCTTTTAATGTCTTATTATGAGCCGCGTCATGACAAAACCAACATAGTGGGTTTGCGACCAGCATGGATCCAGACCAGCCTGCGCATCCTCTCAGTCTGGTCAGGATCCATGCTGTTCGCTTACCAACTCTATTACAAGTAGAGAAACTGATAGCGAACAGCATGGATCCTGATCAGACTGCGCGGATGCGCAGGCTGGTCTGGATCCATGCTGGTCGCAAACCCATTATGTTGGTTTTGTCATGACGCGGCTCATATGTTTTTTTATGTGTGCTTGTATAAAAGACCAAGTATCTACATAGTTTGACCAATTATTTCAAGCTTTTACTCAATTATGTTCTTGATTTTTGTTTGTTTTAAAATTTGTTTTTGGTGCAATTTGCCGTTCCTTTTTCCCTGTCTATGAATTATTTCAAGATTATGATTTTTCCAAACACTCCTTATTATGGTCACATTTTTGAATTGGTTTCAGTACTAAGCATTGAGTATAATCTATGTCTTTTGTAGGCTGAAATTTTGTGTTTCTACACCTTGAAATTGATAATGGGCAGCTCCAAAGAGAGACCAGTCCATTTCAAATAATCAGGGGAGTTTTTGTAAAGGCATCTCAATGATCATCTTCTTTTGTAATATATTAGATCAAATTTAAACTATGCAAGAATACTTTATAGTGCTTTTCCAAAATGTTTGGTATGATATGAGAAATGAAGTTTGGTAAAAGCATTTATTTTATGAGGATCAATTATGTTCTGGGATTTTGTCATGAGATTTTACCTGTATCAGTGAGATATTTTGTATATCACTGTATGTCTCACATTTTGAAGACATATTTAAGCTTGGCTATTTGAAGAATAGGTAGTGCTATTGTACTGCATCACATTAAGTTTTTTGGTACAAATTGATATCTGTAAAACTATTGACTAGAACAGGTTAAGGCTCACACACTTATTTGAGAGCATACATAGTATGAGGTCACTCTCCAAGGCCCACAACTCTTGACATGGATTTTTGACAGAATTATGGCCTTTTTGAACTAATGAAAATTTTACATTATCGACTGGCTTGTTTTACGATCAAGCACTGAGAATGGTCAAGCATTTTGTCCTACTGACAGGTCTTGTTTTGTCATAGAGTTTTAAATAAGAGTTTAAAAATTATGCAAGCAACACATTGTATCTTTTTAAAGTCAATAAAGGCCTCTTAATTACATGTTCTTTTTTCTTTCGGAATACTTGAAATGGTTTTGAACTTCAGCTTCAGAAAATGTACTTATATTTTAGCAATTTTTTACTCAGAAAAAAGAAGAAAAAAAATACAGATATAAAAATATGTTAATGAACACTGTAAAATATATAGTTTTTGTCTAAATTTTACTAAACTCTTACCAGGGCTTTCATTCAGTGTACATTTTTGTTTTAATTTTGTAAATTAGTTTGTTTTACATTCATTTTAGATGTTTTCCTCTCCCACCATTGAATGCAATAAAAATTAGACCCCAAATAACTAGAAAAAATAGGATCTCTCTAAGTAGACATGGTCTCGGAATAAAAGATAAATATTTTTCTCATAAGACATCTTAATTTTTGTCTTCTTTTTTTTTATATGCCCCATGCATTAAATAGATAGAGTTGTATATTATATTTGTCCTATATGTCCTTATTGTTTGTCCAACTGTCTTTCACTCTGCAGATATTTTCTATGAATAGATTAGTATATACAGAATTAATTTTAGTTTTGTTTTGTGTAGGAAGCTATAAGCTTATAGACACACTCTCGAATCCATTCCTGGAACCAACCAGTACTGTGCAATGAGAGTAAATTTTTTTGCTAAAAGAAACAACGGCTTGACTTTTGACAAAGGCTAGATCTTGAGATTACTAGTGCAAATGTTAATTACAAAATGGGAAAATGCCACAAAACAACAATTTTTTGTAAGGCCACATTTTAACATGGAAAAACTTGATTTTGGGTAATTCAAAGGGTTTTCATCATTTTTGGTTAACACCACTCTGTGGATAGATTAGGGGCATAATATTTTTGTCCTATATGTGTGTATAAGTTAAAAACAATTAATTCACCAATATGAAATAAATTTTTGAGGATCAACTGATATTTACAGATTTCACTCATCAACATTTTTACAGATATGGGAAAGGGGCATTTTTTTTCTGTTATATAAACCCCTCTTATGTTTCTTTTTCTCTTCTGTATGTAAAGTTATTTTTATGCTAGATGTGCTGTGTTATTATTGTTGTTTGTTTCATTTGTGTAGAAAAAAAGTGTATATAATTTTTACATGTGTATAAATTGTTTAATTCATATTTATAAAATTCCATTTAAAATGGAAACTCACAGGCTGAACCAGTGCTGCATATGTTATTTTTTTGTGCAAAATTAAAAAGAAATATGATATATTTATTATTATAAGCTGGAAGAATTGGTTTAAAACCCAACCATTTAACAAGCATTTAAATAATATGAAATTTGATAAAAAAAATCTAGGAAATTTCATTGGATAGATTTTGGATAAAAAATCCCAAGATTAGATATAAGGTTTTTTGTTTTTTAAACTTTCAAACTCATTCAAGTATCATAGTAACCTAAAAAAATTATTTTTTTTGTGATTTTGAAAACATATTTTTTAAGGAAGAAAGATAATTTTTTATGCTATGCATTACAGAATGCCTTTAAAACCCGTTTCATAGACATCTGACCAGCTAAGCTCATTATCTCCAGATATGTATTAGTTGTGTACTAGTGTTATCAGGTTAATAAGTCCTTAGTGCTGTTCTTATATTGTAATATTTGTACAGTTTCTTTGATTTGCAAAGAACGCCTTTGATATAGGAATACTTATATTAAATGTTCATATTTTCACTAGGGTGTTAAGATATTCCCAGTACTTCTCACGCAGGTACCATACCCATGACAGTATCATGGTAATCTGAACATGTGCTTATTTGCATACCTTCAAAAATTAATGCCTTTATTTAATTACCGAATTTGATATTCTTTTAAGGAAAGATGCACCAGTAAAATTAGTCAGTGAACATTCAAATATTAAGTACCACATTCCCTACGTAATTGTACTGTAGATGGTACTAATTGCAGATATATTGATTTAGGACAGTGTTGCATAAAATCCTTAAATTTATTTTTTTAAAAACAAGAACAAACAAGAGAAATGAGAGAAAAAAAATTTCACTGCTATTTTTGTGTTGTTCAGAATTTATGTCAATATTTATTATACTGCCATTTATTTGCCAAAATCTACCATATATGTCTCGTTTGTATTTATCTGGAACCTTATAAATTAATACTGCACCATTGTCTTGTTGACTTTTCATTGAATAATTGTGACATTTATACATGGCTGCTGTCAATTTATAAAGTAAATTCATGTTTTTCTTCCAAAAAAGGAAGTTTGCTGTACAGTAAATTCTTTATAAAGAGTCTTGCCAGCTTATATGACTATATAAACGTTTATTTCAATATAACCAAAGTCACTACAACCATTTATATAGGACAATATAACCTGTCAGAAATACCTATAAGTAATTTTATAAATTTATACTGCATGTATGTAACCTAGGTTTACGTTGAAAAAGTGTGATGTCAATGGTTTTTCTAAAAACTCTTTATAAATATTGATAATAAATAACCAGGACTACATGTGGATATATAACCTGGATATCACAGAAAAAAAATGTTTTCAGTCATAAATTGTCTCCAGTATGTGTTTCTTTTGTTTATTTTTTTAACTCTGTAATTATTATAAATAAATTTTTACAATTTTATAAACATTTTTTATTCACAAGCACATAATATATAATCAATTTTAGTGAGATATAACTGAATATTTCACTTGGTCAAATATGATATTTAAACTACACATTTTTATACTTGAAATGTTAACACATATTCTTTTTTTGATAAATTCAAGAAATTTCTTTACTGTATGAAATACCCTTGTTTTTCTTCTTATCTTTTTCGAAAGGGTATTTTTATAGGTTAAAAAGAGTTTTCTGAATGAATGATAACAGAATGGGAAATTATTTCTATTACTGCTTATTTGGTGTGTAAAATGAATATTGGCAAATTTTAATTGGTATGTCGTTAAAGTCATATGATGCATGAAAGGTGGTACCAAGCATAGAAGTACACTGTGGCGAATAGTGGTACCATGTTTAAAAAGTGACACCAAGTTTATCAAAGTGGTACCATATATGAAAGGTCTTTTTTAGTGGTGTCCGGTTTCAAATGTGGAAACATGTGGTATCAGGTTTTAATTGTGAAACCATAAGGTATCAGGTTTAAACATGAATCTGCACAAGAAAAAGTGATTAAAAGTATAAAAGTTGTACCATATATAAAAAACTTAAGTAGTACACAAGTGAAATACTGTATTAAAAATTCATGAAAAATCATACCAAGAGCAAAATTTGAATAAATTTACATGCATAGTGTCTCAGAAGATTTAACAGATCTGCTCAGTCAGGCATAATGTTATTTCATGCTCAATGTCAGATAATCTATTTTACACGCGCAACTTCTGTATTTAAATATATGATAGCATTTTCATTACACTTAATTCATTATTCATAATTATATTATATTGCACTATTTAAGAAAAGGCTGGAAATGATGTGAAATTATATTAAATACATTTAAAAGAATTAATTGTTTTGCTTGATTAAATTTTTTTTAAACTTTTGATATGCCAACTTTTCAAAAAATTTCCAAAATAAAGCAAAAAAGGTGCTTGTATTGGTTGTTTTTTGTTCTATATTGTAGGCCTCATCATTTTTTTGTGTGTTCATATTTTGTTTGTATTTGTAAATTGTTTTGGCCTGGAATAGACTAGTTTGTTTGCTTAGACTGCAAGACTTGTGTAAACTGCAATTCTTTTTAATGCAGAAACGCTAGCCTTGCAACAAAGTAGACATAAAGTGCAAAACATGTTATGTTATAATAGTAGCTTTTTTGTTATTTTTTGCGCAGAAATGTTACGTCAGTTTTAACCTAGACCAGTTATATGGTTGTTGGTGGCAGACAGTTTGTTGGTAGTGTATTTTTTTCTCTACAGAAAACCATCTTGTTATGCAAAAAGGACCTTGTACACTGCTTTTTAGGTATATTTTGTACTTTATAACATTTGTATAACCAAGAATTATGGTTGTCAAGAAATAGAATATTTTGTATTCTAAGAATTGTTGTTGTTTTTATACTCCCCCCCCCCCCCATCATAAAATTTAATGCTCATTCTCATAATAGTGAACATTTACATGAAAATCTCACAATTCATGATGACAAAATGATCACTAATTACATTTTTATATCTGACCTCAGACCTCTGCATGTGACCTTGACCTTGGTCAAAATGACCTATTACACTAATCCTCAAAATGTTGTAATATAAAATCCCTCTATGTATGTACGAGTTTGAGCTGTGAACTTATAAAATAGAATTCAAATTCAATATTGTACTCAACCATGTATAGTAATTATAACCTCATATCATATGATAATGTAATAAAGTTAAGAAAGAACATATCAAATTATTTTCAAATATTTATTTTGAAGTAAATCATTTAATAACAAATGCTGAAATTTAGATATAATAGAAATAAATTAATAAATGGCATGATACAATGAATCATAACCAAAACTATGATGAAAACTGAAAACTCATACGATAATACTGATGATCTTATCATGTATGATCAAACATATGAAAATCTTTATTTTACAAGCAAAAAAACCCACTTCTGTCACTCTTACTTTCCAACTTTGTTCAACTGTGATGAAGAATAATATAGTTTTTACATTCATTTAACAACTACATGTATTTTAATGAAAACCTGTGAATACAGTTTCCTTTTCATTTTTCCATTCTGTGCAACTTTAGTGGCAATAAAAATTTTAGTTTTGGGCAGATCATATCTGCAAAAAAAATTATAATAACATGTACTGGTTTTTACAAGCAAGGTCAACAGAACTATTCTTGCCTATTGACATAAAGTAAAACACATTATAATGAGTGAATTCAATTTAAACAAATTTAAACTCTGTATGATGAAAAATGATAATCTTATGATGGAGTGAAGGAAAATTCACTCTGTTTTGTCAATGCATTTTGTGTTTCTTTTCAATAAATTTAAAGACTGCAAAGAATTTCCTCCACAGTATTTTGTCAATAAATTAACTCTATGAGTACTGAATGTCAGCTCTAAACAATATCACAGTAATCATCAGTGCCGAATTTTTCCAACTTTTCCTGAAGTCTACATCATCTGGCAGCATTTGGGTTCTGATACTGGGCAAGTTTAATCAGTTGCTGTTCGTGTGGCTCTAGAACCTCAGAGGCATGCTCTTCTTGCCATGAATTCACCATATCTATACCAAACTCCGAGTGTAAGGCATCCAGTTTCTTGTTGGACTTGATCACTTCCGCATTCATTCTGTAATATAAATGTATATGTGTTACTTTATGAACATTATAATAATGTGCAATGTAAATAAATTTCCCAAGTTTTAACGTTTTGTTAACTTTGCCGATTGGTTTAACATCACACCAACACAGTAAAGGTCATATGGCGATATTCCTAGCTTTACCCTCAGTGCATTATTTCAGATACAAACTGGCACTGAGTAGAACCATAAGCTAGCTAGAAAAACGTGGGTGGTTCTACTCGGGTGCCTGTTTGTTCTTGTGATATCCAGCTACACTGTAGCTTACTGAACGTTGGTAAGGAATTAACCCTAAACCAGTAGGTGGCAACTAATTCTGCCCCTTGCTACCAGTGCAGACCAAGATCTGTGTTTGCTTTTCAGTACATACTTTGAAATTTACCCTAAAATGATGAATGGTTGACTGTCATTAAAAGATTGACAAGTCCAGTCAAAATGTAAAGTGAGAGTGGTACAGGTGAAAAATATAATATTTCCTACCTTCTACTCTCCTTTAAAGCTCGGGCAAAAAAATCCTGAGTCCTTTCCTCACTCAATTCTTCAGATGATTGCATTTTACCCTCATCCTGAAATTGGGTAAATGAATTAAGTTCAATCAGGTTTAATAACATTAGAATGTGAAAAAAAAATGATATATGTATACCTCTGATTTTTTTTCATAAACACTTTAATTTTGTTAAACTAGAAATGTGTCCATAGGACAGGTACATGTACATTGTATGCCCTCACATTCCACTGTTTTGTCAGTCTACTGACATACAGCAGAACAGTATGAAAGAGGGACAAAGGAAATTCTACATTACTCCCCCTAGGTTGAGGCATAAAAATGACATCTAATTATTCCAATTTTGACGTCTTGATTTTTCACAATATTAAGATTTTCTAATCTAAATTTTATATCCTTTTTATTTTATATCCTAATTTACCATGTGCAAAGGTTCACATGCTGACCAACAATCCTGTAAAGTTTGTTGATTCTAGCTCAAGCACTTTAAGAGACATTGTACACATGACACAACAGCTTTTATAAAGTCCAGGGCAATTTCTCTACAAATTCTGAACAAATATACAAGCAAACCCCCAGGTGCACAACTACACAAACGTTTCTGTAAAGTTTCATCACTCTGGTCAGTTTTTTTTAATATGCATGCCTGAAGTTGAAAATTGCAAATTTTTCTTGATCAAGGGCAATAACTCTAAAGATAATGAATAAATCTATAGCAAACTCCTAGGTGCACAACTTCTTATGCTGATCAACATTTCTGTAAAGTTCTATGACTCCAGGTCAAATACTTTTTGGGGCTATGCCGGACACAAGTTGAAAATTACGAATGTTTACTTAGTCAAGGGCAATAACACTACAAATACTGAATAATTTCACAAGTTATCCCCCAGGTGCACAACTACACATGCTGACCAACATTTCTGTAGTTTTTCCAGTAATCGGGTTTCACAATAACTTTTTTTCCAAAATATTTATCCCGAAAATTGATTTTTAGTGAGTTTTTTTTTTATCTCAAACTGGTGGATTCAATTTTGTTATCACATAAAACAAGGAATGACCATATTTCTAAACAAAGAATAGTGTGTAGAAGTGTTGAGTGAATTATTCAACCAAAAGTGTGTAAATGATTAGTAGCGAGCTCGACGAGCTGGCCCGAAGGGCCTGCTCGCAAAGCGAGCTTTACGGTAACGCGAGTACCTGCTAAGTCATGGTTTTGAAAACTTTCGTCCAAAGTACCGAATTGGACACATCGCAACCTTTCGAATTTAAAGATAACAATAAAAACTGAGAAATTCTGACTGATACGGATGTGTAGACTGGTCACCCGCGCACGTTTATGGGAACCATAATTGGACAGGGAACCAGAATAACGGAAGCTGTGTATAAAAAATGAAAATCGAAGGCGCCATTTTGTTTGAAATCTGATAAATAAAAACAATTTTTTGTCGAATTTTGTTGTGAAAACTATCTAGAATGAAAGAAAATGGTCTAACTAAGAAAATGAATCCGAACACCAATATCTTTTATTCAGTCGTTAACGCTGTACAGACGTTTAAAGTATTGTTTACGTGACGTCACAATGTAGCGCCAAACAGCACGTGCAAAACAAACAAATCAAGTGCGCTATTTTAATGTCGCAAACGCTTTAAGTTTTACATTTATTTCACTTAAAATAATCTTTATTTCGCTTGAAAAATTATAGAGTGAAATAAAACAAACAAAGTTTTATCAACGTTTTCAAAACTCGTTATTCATTTCACGACAGGGACGGGGTCATATTTACATTTAACACAGTACGTGTGACGTCACACGCACTCCGTCCCGTCACTGCATTTGAGATTGTTTCATACTATTTCACGTAAAAAGTACACCGAGCTCGCTTTGAGGCTTTGCCTTTTTCATATTAAAAAATTGTGTAGCCAACGTTGATTTTAATACATATAGTGTTTAAGAGTTATGTATTATATATTCTGACAAAAACATTCATATTATACAATTGTTACGATAATTTTTAGTAGATCTACGAATAGAACAAATACAGAACTATTCTGTCAGTAAAAGCCAACTCCTTGAAAGTCATTTTAATTCTACATCATTTAAACCTTTTGTCTTTGGTAGTGACCAGTTACGAAATCTTCTAAGGTATTTGGTGTCTCAGTTTCGGGAACATCACCTCTATTTTCCCCATCGGCTGATTCGTTGGTATTTTTGTCGGCCATTTGTAAACAAATTTGAAACGAGGCAAATGAGAACGGCCGTACATTCGCATCTTAAAATTTTACAGGTCTTACTAGATTTTTAAAGTTTCAAATTTCATTTAACTATAAATGAAGGCGAATTTGTTAAAAACTAATTTATTTGTCGAACTGTTGTGTAAAATTTAAAACCTATTATAGAAAAAAGATGTTGCCCGGCTAGCAACGCGCACCTGTCAAAACAGTTTCGACACCTAGCGGTAGTTTAACTTAGAAACGAAACTGTAATTGCCAATTAACTAGGAAGAAAACATCCACTGTAAACAATGCCGCACAGAGGAGACGATGGGTCAGAAAATCAAGAAGGGCAAGTTTCCTTCGAAATTCATCGTGATGAAGCAGCTTATTTTATGCAATCCCAACTATACGAAAGAGCGATAGAAAGTTTCACAAAGGTAAAATTGTGGGAGGGGTATGGTTTCAAATTTCCCCTAAGACAAGAGTGAATCTGTGCTGCATTTTGAATTCTGATCTAAAAATGATCGAATACACAGAGTTGCATGCTACGTTTCTGTTTGTTGACTGTGATCTTAAATTTGCATTCATGTAATCCTTGTGACTTTAAGCCAAATAAAACTTTTAAATCATATAATCAGGATAATCCTTATAAGCTTAATTAGAATTAGTGTAAGGATAATACACTAGTCTGTCAGTTACTATAATAAAAACAATTATTAAAGAGTCATAATCTTTTTTGTGGTACTAACTGAAATTCAAACTATTGGTAATTAATTGCTACTGTTTTAAAATAGTTGTGATTATATATATATGTGCTAATTGTTCCTGAATGTATAAATAAAAATGGGTACCACTAAAATACGCAACGGAGATTTTTTGGCGCAACGGACGCAACGGGCGCAACGGAGATATTTTTTTAGAAAAACCAGCACAACGCCTTTTTTTAAAGTCAATGTGCTATTTAAGCATCTAAAAAGATTGTTTATAACTAATTAGTAAGTAAGTTTTAAAATATTTCATAAATTGTATATGTTTAATTGCACTGAAGGGTCATACGCCTGGCGATTGGAAATTTCATGGCGCAACGGAGATATTTTTCAGAAAAACCGACACAACCCCTTTTTTTAAGTCAATATGCTGTATTTGTGCATCTAAAATGATTGTTTAGCACTATAAAGTAAGTATGATTTCAAATGTTTCATAAATTGTATACACTGAAGGATTATAATATGCCTGGCGAAATGGAAATTTCATGGCGCAACGGAGATAATTTGGGAAAATCGGCGCAACGTTTGTACTATTGCACTATTATATGAAATTAATTAACACCAATGTTATTTGAATAAATTAATTTAAAAAAAAATTAAAAACCTTAATCGTATATCAAATAATCAAAGAGCTGCAATGTTGATGTTGTACATAAAGGATTGTGTGTTGGCGAAATGGACATTTTGTCTGCGCAACGGAGATTTTTTTTTTGGCGCAACGGAATTTAAAAAGAAAACAATGTTTGTCCGAGTTAAGTAGTAATATGAAGAAGTAAATCATTGAAGATATTAACTGAATTACTGAAGTGGTGTTATAAATGTCTGTTTTATTCATTTAAAAATAGAATGAAATACGTTTTTATCGTTATGGCTGACACTGGAAGACAAGTATAGATTTTACTATCTGTTTCATTTTTTCCCCGTTCAATTCGTTATTTTTACGAAAAGTACTGTAATAGCTTTTCTATACATAATTTTTAATTGAATGTGCATTAGTTAACTAAATAAAGGAATATATATGCTGATATTACATTATCAATGTTCAGTATTTTTTTATTATAAACATTCATTGTATTTTTTTATATACCTTTCATAAACTCCGTTGCGCCGATGGATTATTGCGAAACGGAGATTTTATTTTCAAAACTGTGTACTGTTTTTTATGTCTAAAACATAAAATAATCATATAAGTTGGTATTGTTGATATTTTATACATATTTTTTACATATACTGTATAAGTTTGATTTTATTAGGTAGAATACTGAATATATCAGATTCTAAATGGACGGCGAAATGGACATACTTTCGGCGCAATGGAAAATGAAGATTTGCATAACGGGTAGTTCTTATGTAAACATAACTTAAGAATTTGAGAAAATAAGTAACAGTCTTTAAAAAAGGATTTACTTTCCTTTATTTTAGAAAATGTTGAAAATAGGATATTGTAAAAGATATTTAAATTACGGCGAAATGAACACATTTCGGCACAACGGGGATTATCATAACAGTTTTATCATATTATAATATTTTATTAATTTATTATCTTTCATTAATCATTGTGTACCTTTTCAATAATTGTTTGTTGCGTATAAATTGTATATTTCATCAAAAGCAATCAAAATATTTCATAATTGTTATATTGACAAACGGTAATCAATAACGCGAGAATTGTAAGCAATTAGCAACGTATCGTGCACGAGTATGGCACGGTGTTTAATAATTTTAACACTTGTAAAAGAAAACTTGACCGTTATCAGTGGCGGATTCAGGCTCCAAAATGTTTTATTACGTCTCACATTTCATATACACAATTTTTCTCATAGTTTGAGTGAAATATGGCATAATAAGCTTCAAAAGCAATATTTTCGACAATAATAAGTTATAAAAAATATGTAATACCTTAAAGACAATACATGTTCCTCTTAATCACATAATCTAAATGGTGTGAAAACGCTTGTCCAATAAACATCAACCACGTGTCATTGTTAATTTAATTATCGGTACTTAACACCCGTGATAAACATTCTGCCAATCATCAAAATGCTGTTGTTTCGCTAAATAAACAGTAGCTGCATATGATTAACAGGGTTTTCTGATTGGGAAGAAATTGTTATAAGTAACGTTCAAGTTAATTATCTTATGTTTTAAAATGGAAAGTCTAAGCAAATTCTACGGGCATGTCGTTTTACTATTTTAATAATTACGTCAAACAATAAATATGTTGTATAGTTACTATTTTTAATTTTAAAAATGCATAAAATATTACAATCATTCGAATATCAGCCATGACGGAAAAAATTATATTTCTTTGTGCATCAATAAAGCCATTAATGAACGTTTTGTTGAAATTTGGTAATTTATTGTTAAGATTACATTAGAAAGTCAACAGCGTATGCTTTACGTACTTTTCGTATTCTTCAAGTAAAATTCTGAAAATTATGTATAGAAAAGCTAGTACGGTACTTTTCGTAAAAATAACGAATTGAACGGGAAAAAATGAAACAGATTGTAAAATCCATACATGTCTTTCAGTGTCAGCCATAACGATAAAACCGTATTTAATTCCATTTCTAAATTAATAAAACAGACATTTATAACACCACTTCAGTAATTCATTTAATATCTTTAATGATTTACTTCTTCATATAACTACTTAATTCGGACTAACATTGATTCCGTTGAGCAAAAATAAAAATCTCCGTTGCGCAGACAAAATGTCCATTTCGGCGGCACACAATCCTTCACAACATCAACATTGCAGCTCTTTGATTATTTGATATACGATTAAGGTTTTTAAATCTTTTTTTTTTTAATTTATTTATTCAAATAACATTGGTGTTAATTAATTTCATATAATAGTACAATAGTACTAGTAAGAAATATCACACTGTCCTTTCATCTTTGTTAGACAAACATGCACCTGAGAAAACAAAAACAATTGTTCTCAGACCCCAATGCCCGTGGTTCAATCAAGAAATACATGATGAGAAACACATTAAACGTAAACTTGAAAGAAAATGGCAGGAATCAAAATTAACTGTAGATCATGAAATATACAGAAGTCAGTGCTTAGTTGTAAATGATGTAATTGAAAGATCTCGTGAAACATATTACAAAGACAAAATAAAATCGTGTGGTAATGATCAAAAACAAATTTTCAAAGTAACAAATCATCTCCTCGGAAACAAACCTGAAGTTAAGCTCCCATCACACACTTCTGCTAAAGAACTAGCTCAAGATTTTAGTGATTTCTTTGAAAACAAAATTGAAAAAATCAGATCTGACATAGCATCTAAAAATGAATGTAATATAACAAATGAATCTAATTCAACTCAAATACAAAAGCCTAAAGAAACATTCAGTGAATTTGAAGTTATTACAGAAGAGCAAGTTCTTAAGCTCATATCAAAGTCATCTACTAAATCATGTGAACTAGATCCGATACCGACTTGGCTCCTAAAAGAATGCAAACTTGAAGTATCACCATATCTAACGCACATGTTCAACTTATCATTTTACACCGCCGACGTACCTCCACGCAATAAGACTTCGATAATCAGACCACTATTAAAGAAAGACAATTTGGATCAAGAAATTATGAAAAACTTTAGACCAGTTGCTAATGAAACATATGACTCAAAACTTCTAGAATCTGCGGCTGACTGTCAGTTTGATATGTTTCTCAACTATAACAATCTACATGAACCAAATCAATCTGCATACAGGAAATTTCATTCCACAGAAACTGCACTTATCAAAGTGCAAAATGACATTCTCCAATCTCTTGACAAAGGCGAAGTTACAATATTAGTAATGCTCGATTTATCTGCTGCCTTTGACACGATTGACCACAACACTCTTCTTAATCGACTCGAATGTGACTTTGGTTTTACTGGAAAAGTGCTCGCTTGGTGTAGATCTTATCTCAGTGGTCGCTATCAGACTGTTTGTATTGATGGAGAACTATCTGACCCTGTGCATATGACATACAGTGTCCCTCAGGGCTCTGTATTAGGACCAAAATTTTACATACTTTTCACAAAACCTGTCGGCGAAATTTGTCGAAAACATGGTCTGCAATGTCACTTCTATGCTGACGATTCTCAAATATACATCTCTTTCAAACCGTTGGACAACACCAAAACTGAACTTGTACTTGATTCTGTCTCAAACTGCTTAAAAGAAATAACATTCTGGATGAACAGCAACATTCTCAAACTGAATTCAGACAAAACAGAACTTATAGTCTTTTCGTCGGGTAGCAATACAGACTCAGTGAAAAATATAACTGTCAATGTGGACCAAGCTGAAATCAAACAGTCATCAAGTGTAAGGAATTTGGGTGCATTCCTTGATTCAAGGGTTAATATGGAACATCATGTTAGCTCCGTGTGCAGATCTTCGTATGCCCAAATAAGTAAGATAGGACGTATTCGAAAATATATCAACGAAGAAGCTACAAAAACACTCGTTAACTCTCTCGTGACATCAAGACTGGATTATTGCAATGCTCTTCTATATGGTATACCTCTACAAACCATGAAAAAACTTCAACTTGTTCAAAATACTTCAGCCCGTGTGATTAAACGTACATCTAGGAAAGATCATATTACACCAGTGATGAAAGATCTTCATTGGCTGCCAATCGAATATAGAGTGAATTACAAGATCTTATTACATACTTTCAAGTCACTGAAACAACAATCTCCATCATATATGCAGGAAATTATTCAAGTTTATTCCACTTCCCGAAATCTGCGCTCTTCAAATGCACCTGTACGATTAGTGCAACCAAAAAATAAACTGAAATTTGGTGAAAGGAGTTTTTCGGCATCAGCTCCTAAGCTATGGAATTCACTACCAAGTCATCTAAAAAACTGTAACACAGTAGAAAGTTTCAAAAAACATCTTAAAACACACTACTTCAATTTAGCTTATGGAAAATAATCAGTGACTGTTATGAATGAATTTTATAAACAGTGAATACGAAGTATCTGTTATTTGAATATTAGTTTTATTAAAAGTTTTTTTTATTTTTAAACAAACAATTTTTAAATCAATTTAGTATTTCTATTGTTTTATAACGATGATTTAGCAAGATCTTATCTATTATTATAAATCCATTGCTAGCATTTTTAAGCACAGAATATTTTTTTTTTTTTTAAATCAAAAAAAAAAAAAAAAAAAAAACTAACATTGATTTATCATAATAATTTACATGTGTTATATAATATATGGCTCGTGAATGCAGAGGGGTCAGATTTCAAGAATATTTAGTGTTAAGGTGTGGGGCGTGGCCCTTTCCTCCTGTGGTGATAGTAGTGATGTCATCCTGGGGGTCTGCATGCGCTGTGGGGAGGTATCTGACTCCCTCGGTACTGGACCTTGGTGTAGCAGTACTCATGCTATCCAGGTTCGTTAGGTTCAATATTCTTTTAGTCTGATGTCGCTGTATTCATTCTTTTATCAATCGTTCATATATTTTCTGTTGTAAAGTATGACAACAAAACAATGAAAATCATCAATATGCATTTAAAGTAGCTTTTAATATTTATTTATGAGTTTATGTTAAAAAGGCACATTATTTCTTACACATTTATATATTGAAGACAATTTTAATGTATGACAATAATATTGTAAAGTGAGTTTTAAGGATCTTTAAGTTATATTGTATTAATATGTAAAAATAATTCCATAATTTATACTTTTAATTAGTTAATGCAAAATATTTTTAATGTTCATAATCCTGTTCATTTATATTGTTTTAGACATATATGATTGATGTAAAGCGCCTTTGAACATTTTAATGAAAAGGGCGCTATATAAATGTGGTATTTATTATTATATTATAGTACAAACGTTGTGCCGATTTTCCCAAATTATCTCCGTTGCGCCATGAAATTTCCATTTCGCCAGGCATATTATAATCCTTCAGTGTATACAATTTATGAAACATTTGAAATCATACTTACTTTATAGTGCTAAACAATCATTTTAGATGCACAAATACAGCATATTGACTTAAAAAAGGCATTGTGTCGGTTTTTCTGAAAAAAATATCTCCGTTGCGCCATGAAATTTCCATTTCGCCAGGCATATGCCCCTTCAGTGCAATTAAACATATACAATTTATGAAATATTTTAAAACTTACTTATTAAATAGTTATAAACAATCATTTTAGATGCTTAAATATAGCACATTGACTTTTAAAAAAGGCGTTGTGCCGGTTTTTCTAAAAATAATATCTCCGTTGCGCCCGTTGCGTCCGTTGCGCCAAAAAATCTCCGTTGCGTATTTTAGTGGTACCGAATAAAAATAACATAAATAGTTATGTTTTAAATACTGACAGGCCTCAGCTGCAAATGATATTCAATAACAATACATGCTATGTTTTTATCTAAATAATTCACCCTCCTATGAATGATTAAGTTATGATCAACAATTTATTACATTTTTATGTGTTTGCATTTCAATGAACTATATTGCTTTTATAATATTTAATACTGTTAATGTTCAAAGAAAGATAAATTCTGAGAAAAATTTGGACTCAAGCATGTTTTAGTAGCATAAGTTATATCCAAGTTCAGAGAAATTGATTTCAGCATGATATCCTAATGTAAACTATTGATATATATATATTTCAGGCACTGGAACTAAAGCCAGATGATAAGCAATGTTTGGTAATTAGATCAAAGTGTTACCTACAGCTTGGAAATGCTGAGGCGTCCCTGGCTGATGCTGAGAAAGCTCTAGAGAAAGACAAAGATGAGCAACAAGAAGTTCCTGTTAAAGTAAATGTTATCTTTGCTTAATTTTATCTCTTTTAAGGCACACATTTATTGCTTTTTAGTCGAAAATATCAGTGGTATTAATACACATTATATAATTATTGACGTCAGTAATATTATATACTGTGTGACTATATAGATTGATGTTCACATAGGACTGGGGTGTTGTGATGTTAAAATATTTTTTTCTAAATGTATGATATCTAAAAAAAAAAGTATTCCAACTTTAGACCAAACAGAAAAAAATATATTATACCATCTAAATTAACAAGCTTTAAAATCATATAATTTATAAAACAAATGAATGATATAACTATCCTATCACCACTGTCATTTTTTCGCTCTTTTTTACCTCAGAAAATAGGGTGTTTGAATAGTTGCAACTTAACACTTTAAACATGTTTTCTGTGATACAAAAAAGAAACTTATTGAAATTATTAAAATATTAGAATACATATTAAGAAATTGCAAAACATATATTTTTTAAACAACTTTAAACTTTGCATCTTTTTATCTTCAATATTTTCCCTTAGGGACTGTTCCAAAAAGCTGAAGCATTATACCAGAAAGGTGATTTTGAGACGGCCCTCATCTTCTATCATAGAGGAAACAAATTGAGACCAGAGTTACAAGAGTTCAGATTAGGAATACAGAAATGTCAGGAGGCCATTAACAACAGTATTGGACGTATGTTGTTTATTTACTTAGTATTTATTCACTTTGAATAATTCTCCTTCCCCTTTATTGCTTGAAATCAATCTGCATTAGACAGATAAGTATCATCTTATGCATTTTAGTCAATTTTAACTGTCAAATTAAAATTAAATTTTACTGCATATATCATCAGCTTAAAAAGATATTGCTATAATCACCACTTATTATAGTCCAGTAATCTTAGGGTATGTTAATGTTTTTGCATTAAGTTATTATAAATGGCTAATCATTTTCATAAAGGAGAGGGAATTTTACAGATGAAGAGAAACTGAAATAATAAAAATATAGATATTGCCAAAAATGTCTGTTCCCTGGAGTATAAAACTTTCTTTTTGTATCAAAATTTTGTATATAGCATGATTATCTGGACAATAAGCTAATACTTTGTAACATCTTTTTACATGGTATATTTATTTATTTATTTATTTATTCAGAACCAGAATCAGTGAAATTGGAGGCAAACAAAGGTGACATGTCATATTTCTACAAACAGGAGGAGGTAACTCTATATGATTTATTACTCTTATCTTTGATTGCTTTTGGTCAAAACATGTTCCTGTGCCTTTAATGAAAATTATTCCCATTATACAAAAAAGATTGCACTATTCCTATACATACAGTATTTATATCAATATTGTCTTGCTTGAATTCTAAATTCTTTAAAGTTTGAACAATTGTATGTATAAAAATAAATGACAAAGGCACTCTAACTTGTTTCCCAGAAGCTACTCGTTTTTTTCTTTGCTTTTGGTATATAATCATACGTTATACATGTATATACAGTATATTTTGTGTGGCCAGTTAGAAGTTTTATTGTATATTTGATTTCTAAATTTAATACCTTTTATTGCTGTTGGTTTTTTTTTGGTGTTACACAGATTTTCATTGTTATTTATATTTACAGTTTTGAAATATCTGTTTGTTTCAATAATGATAATTAAATTTAATGTTGTGAGGTACATGTAACAGTTTAAAGTATGGTGTACAGTTAGCAACATGCCTCCAGATAAATATTCTATGTGACACTGGTTTTAATTTGAAAAAGAAAAGTTTTCATATTGGTTCATATGAAAAACGGGACTTTGCATACATGCCATAAAGTCCTGGACATCTGGGAATGTCCCAGAAATAATTTGTCTATCCCGGAGGCGTCCCAGATATGATTTATGTGATAATGTCCCGGGGAAATAAAAATCTAAAATAATTTGTAATTGGCATCTGTTCACACAAGTCATGCTTCTTAGTTTTTATTTAGGAGAACTGTTGTATATACTTTAAGATATGACAGTTTAAAACAAATTACTTGTTCTTTCCAGACTTGTTTGGCTTTTAGAAAAACATCAAGTTATATCTTAAATTAATTTAATTCATTTAAGTTAGAAGTACTTCTATAGATCTGGAGGCATGAAATATTTTGTTTATTTCTTGGTTTCAATTTAAAACATTTTCTGTTTTAAGTCATGAAAATTGCTTAAGAGCAGTGCTCAGATTTGTAAATTATTTAATATAGTGGCGTCCAATTCCGACTCCAGAATTTAATATGCGGGTAAAATTACAGCCAATTGTTTTAAAGCTTTTAACATAGTCAGTTTAAATACTAAGAAGTAATGATAATTTCTGAATTCTAACAAAAGGTACCTTCTTTATATTACCATGATGTTAGTTGAAGGTTTTCAGCATACATGTTTTTATACTGTGGCAGGACAGGAACACTTTAACAGTTGAAGGAAAAAAAATGTCAAAAAAATGGAATATTAAGTTTTCAAAGCGAGAAATTCCTCCATGATGTGTAGAGAAGATTTTAACCAACCAGCTCATTGTGGTCAATAAGTTATCTGAAAGTCCCATCCCTAAAAAACAACCTGATATATTTTCCATAATGATACGTATTCTTCAGTGTGTAATAAAAATTTGTTTTCCAAAATTTGACTAAGAAATGTAAGATTTTTTCCATTACAGCATTGACCTACAAAATATATGGTAAATTAGTGACAACAAGTTTATAAATAGCAAAAAAAGAAATTTCAACAGAGCAGATAATTTATTTAAGATATTAAAGGACATAATTAAAGAGCCCATGATGCATGCTTGTGTGTGTTTTTAAAAATAGTTATAATACACTTTAAAACAAAATAAAATGTATCAAGAAAATATCACTAAACAGGCATGGCATATTTTTATTTAATTTGGTTGGATAAACATAATATATTAGTAAATTGTTTTGTAGAAAAATGGTTGTCAGACCTAACAATGAATGTTTGTCAATATAATTATAACAATATAATAATCATAATGGTATAAATAATCCTAATAGAATCATATATAAATAGCATGTAGTATTGTATGTTTTTATTTTATTACTACTATTTGAACTTTATTTTAACTTTAATTATATAAATGTTTTTATTTGACTTTGAAATTTCTAGGAGCAGAAAGCAAAGGTACTGTTGAAATAGCACCTGATCACACTGTTTTTGTTCCTATGATTATTCTTTCACTGTCATATGTTCACTGTCATTATCCTATGTTTACTATATCTTATCATCATTATCATCATCATATCTTTTCATCTATTCACTGTTTATCATCATATCTTCACTTTGGTCATGATATTTCATCATGTGTTTACTATCATCGTCATATTTTCTCTGTTAACATCCTATATTATCATATATCTTAACAGTTTGTTTATCCTGATATCTCAGCATATTTTCACTGATTGTCATCATTATTATATGTTAATATTATCTTCATTGTTTGTCATTATCATATCTTAACATATCTTCATTGTTGGCATCATATCTTCCTTGTTTGTCATTATAGTTTCTTAAAATATTTTCATTGTTGGCATCATCATATTGTCATATCATATCTTTGTATCATATCATTATGTCATATATTCATCTACATTGGTATTATATCATTACATTTCTTATTCTTTAAATCATTCTGTCTGATACATAAATCTTTTAACTTTCATGGCATTACTTATACAATCAATCATCTCAAGTAATTTATCAATTGTTTTCGGGCTCGTTACTCTAGTACAGTCATTACATTTGGAAACTGAAATTGTTCTTAAGACATTATCAAATAGTTTTGTTCAACTTTTTCCATCTTAAAAATGCAAATTTTTTCTGTATTTATAGTCACTGCAATGCATTTTTAGTTTCCAAATGTAATTTTCTACAATTTAGATTTCTATTTTTATGTTTCTTTAAAATACCCCTTTACAAATTCTGCAAATATTAAGTAACAAAACTGGCAGCATTTAGATTTGGATTTTATTACAAAATGAAAACATAATTGTTAATTGTATGAAAAAGCATACAATGACATTTCATACTTCAAATGGCTCAAAAAGGCAAAACTATGTGCAAAAGACTCTCATATGAACATTGCATGATATTTGCTTGTAGGGGTAAAATATATAAAGAAAACTAACAAAATCTATCTTACAGATCTCTTGGTGAAAATTTGTTTAGAATATGGTCTCCTAGGTTACCTTTTACAAAGTGCCAGTATCCATTGTCCTTTAAATTAATATTCTAGTGGGGATTATACAAGAAAAACAAAACCCTGTCACACCCACTTTGTCTTCTTCATCTGTTTCTAGTCCATGTAGTCTAAAACCGGATTTCCCTTAAAAACTCACTACTAGAGACTTTAAGTCACAGACTAGCTGTGAGTTTGGTAGATGGTGTTTTTGGTAATAATAATAAATTGAAATTGCAGCTTGGTGGGTGCTGTTATGGAAGATGTATAGTTAATATATATATACATTGTCAACTAATTGTACAAATACCCTTGTCCACTATGTACAAATATCCTGGATTATAATTACATCCCTTACTAAAGTGACATTATGCACAATTATTTTACTTTCAAGTTGTCAGCCAAAATACTTTTTATTATTTCGAAAGATTGACTAACTATTATAATGTCATTGACCAATATTTAATACATGTAGGATAAAATATTGAAACTGCCTAAAATATAAAAATAATACTCCACTTTTTTTATAAATGAAATGTTAATGATAATTATAAGATATTTATTAGAACACAGGGGTTATCGATTATCCATGTCATGTTTATTATAAAATTGAAAGCAAATATTACAAAATGTAAAGTTAATTTACCTAAACAGTTGACGTTTAATTATAGATAGGCATAATGTCACTTTAAGGTAAACAAAATCCCTGCTGCGCTTCACTGATATCCTATGTTTTTCAAATAGAAAACCAAATTTTGTTTATGATATTCCTTGTGAAGCGTTTATACATGAACCATAATTGTCAAATCTGATCCAAGAATATAATTATCATGTTGTATTTTACTTCCAAACATAATCATCTGGCTATTAAATTATGCCAAATGTTATTTATAAATTGTCTATCTCTAAGTCTTATAATTATTATTGATATAAAAACAGAGATGATCAAGATGCAGTTATAAAAGATGTTATTGGTATGATATTTCCCTCGTTTGAAGTTGTTGTTCTTTTTTTTCCTTCTTTTTTTAATGCCAGTTCACTAAATAACATGTTATACAGGTGTTTTATGGTTAAAATGTTATTTTTGTTTGTTTAATAGTTACCCAGTTGTAAAGGGACAGCGGGAAGTTTTATTTACATATTCACTTTTATAGCTAATAAAAATTTCACACAATGTTATTATAGAGATTCCATTGCAGCAAAAATGCTTGTAAATGCCAACATTTTCTCTTTATAAATTCCATAAAGATGTTTTAGTTTAATGTTATATATATTTTTGCTTGATTGTGGCTTTAATGCTGTAAGCATATATTTAAATCAATCTCAGAATCGTGGATTAACTAGTTCTGCTGCTCGGGGGACCATTAATGATTTCAGAGGATTAATTTTGCTCACTTTGTTTTTTCAAGAATATTGATTTCTGCAACATGTTGTTCTATTAGTGGTCAAAAGTTTATGTGTTTAAATGCTTTTAACACAAATCAGGCAAAGAGTCTTACAATAATATTTATTTTTAATTTAATTTTAAGTACATGTATTCTTTTTATCTTTTTCAATTTTTTTAATGTTTCAATTGCACAGTTGATATTCTGTAAACAGCTGAAATATTATGTTTTTATGCATTTGATCCTCAGTAGAGATCCTTTAATTGATGTCAAATTCTGATAGGGAGGTTAAAAATGAATTGTGTAAATTATTAATTATTACAATAGAATATGAAGCAGGAACATATAACCCAAAGATAAGACTTAAAACAAAAGTGCCATGATGGCCCTATAACGCTCACCTGAAGTATCCTCATTGCTAAATGATTTTGGCTTTTCAGTAAGTTAAAAAAAAAAATGGTATACATCAGTTAGGCATAAATTTTATTAAAAGATAATCACAGCATTTTGCTAACCAAGCAAAATCAGATTAATGATATCTAATTTAGTTATTGAACTATACCAGCACTATTATAAATAAAATATTGTTTTTATTTATATTTTTTTAGCTCAACTATTCAAAGAATAGGGAAAGCTATTATAGTCTATTATACTTACATCGGCGTCAGATCTGGCATTGCCATTGCTGTCACACTTCAGTTTAATTTTTTCCTGCAAGTTGGTATCTCAAAAACTACTGAAAGGAATTGGTTGAATCTTCAGACACTTGTTCTTTGTGATTAGCTAAAATGATTGCCACAGGTTTCACAACTATTGAGTTACCTTTTTACAGAGTTATGCCCCTTTTCTTATTGAAAAGCACTGAGAATACTAGTAGTCAAGCTGAATAGTCTTATGGGCAGCTCTTGTTTTACTTGATATTGCGTGCCTGTAACCATATACGGGTTTTGTGTTTCTTTCTCATAAATATGCAAATTCAAGTAAAAAAAAATTGGATTTTTGTAGCTTTCAAATACTAAGGATACCAAAGCAAGGTCTTATCAACCTCCAGAGGTATTTGGGAATTTAAATGTTGTTTAAATTTAATTTTGTAATTTCACAATGTTTGATTTAAATTTATTGAAATTTCACTTTCTTTTATGTATCCTTGATAAGAAGTTATGATTAAGTCATAAATTTTATCTAGAGTTTTTGTGAATATATTGTTATTGAATTATTAGATTTCATAATTTTTCGATTTTCTCATTAATTTGAAAGTGTTTTACCAGAGTTACTGCCCTTGATGTTTTCAGTACTACTAGTGTGATGAAAATTGCACCTGTAATTAGGTGAATGCATTAAGTTTTGTATCTATTTTTTTCAATATGTCTTAAAATTGTTGTTGAAGTATTATTTGAATATTACTAAGATTCGAATTCATATACATTTATAATATTATACATTTTAATGTAATTTGAACTGGTAATGATTTTTCTTTCACATCTTCACATAATTTTATAATTTAATTATGAATTTTGATATTCATAACTAAAAATAATTGTAAACTGTACACTAAAATACTTAGATAATACAGATTTAAAATGAAAAATTGTCTTTCAAGTTATTTGATACTTTAATTTTTTCTAGTCACAATTTATTGCAAGGGGAGATAAATTTACTGCAGACAAGCCTGGAAATACTACTTTACATTCATGAATATTTTCATAATTTCAGGATTTAGAAAAGTTACAAAAGAAACAGGCAGACAAAGAGGTGCAAAAATTGCACAAATCTGCACAAAATTACCCAAATGCACCTTTTTTAACAGCGATGCTTCTCATAATGATTGTTAATAATGGTAAAATTGCCAAAAAGCACAAAATAATAATAATGGTAAAATTGCTAAAAAGCACAAAATAATTTTAGCTTTGAAATGAACACCATTAAAGTGTATGGCTTTCTATCAGCACTGTGTATTTGCAATTTTTTAATGGACATTTTTAAGTTGCAAGCAATTTTCTTAGATGTGTTTGAAATTTGTAAAGAATAAATGATATGCTTAGTGTAAAAGGGTGATAACTCCTAGATAAGAGTTATCTTTTTACAACAAGCCCTATGGGTCTTTTAGGGCTTAGTGTAAAAGGGAGATAACACCTTCTTCATTTGATATGAGTTATCATTTTACAGCAAGATCTTGTTTGTTTTTAAACAAACAAACAGCAAGCTCTCAATTTGTCTATGTGGGAATGCTTTATGTTGCACATTTCTGTACATATACATGTGTATATTTGTTTTATAATGACTATCAAAGATTAAGAAATATTTTTTTTACCATTGATTGGCTATATGTTTGATTGATTCATGTCAAATTTTCTCAATTCCTATTTACAGACCATGTTATAAGCTCAGATTAAAAGAGTGAAAATTGGTATCAGTAGACTGTCATGAGTTCTTTATTGTTATTGTCATGTAGTTATAATCTTTATTATTTTTTAGACAAAAATGCATTGCTACTTTGCCATTACTTTCAATGGGAACTGCCATATATTATTGCTGGTTATATGACCAAATATGAATCATGGTTATATAACCATTTGTCAGAAAAGTGTGGTCCATTTTGCACAATTTCTTTTTTTCAGGCGTTATAGACAATGTCCAACAAATAATCATAGTAAATAATTTTAATGCTTAATAACGAAAGTATAATATTAATTAAACACATTAATGATAAACACAGCAGCTAACATTTTAGTTATTTAAAGAATTGAAATTATTTAAATAGAAAATAATGACCTAATTTCAATATTTATGACTTATAACAAAGGAAAAATATATTTTTACACAAAATAATTTGTTTTATTTGATAATAGGAATTTTGTTTTCAATTAAGTAAGAAATGTTGGAAAAGGTATAGATAAAAAGGAAAAGAATTGATGAAAATTAAAAAATTACATCATGAAATAAAAGTTTTGAACTATGTAGCTTCATTAAACAAGATATTTATTGCAATTAGTACCTATAATTTATTGATTTAATTGCCCAAAAAATATAAATTGTATTGATTTAATTGGCAAAAGAACCCATGATTTATTTATTTTATCAGCCAAAAAACTTTAAAAATATATAAATTTAATTGCCCAAAATTGCCATCAATTAATTCAGTTTTATAGGTTTAAAAATCTCCATTAATTTATCAATAGTTATTTGCATATAAAACATGTTTTCATTCATTTGTTTAGGCTAAAAAGCAGCAAAAAACTTCATATTCCAAACCTATAGCCAAGAAAGAAGAGAGAAAGGAAAGAGATGCCCCTAAAGGTAGTGCTGATGCTAAAACTGTCAAACAGTTGCTAGGGGAACTCTATGGAGACAAAGAATATCTAGAAAAACTCCTCAAAGACCAAAGTAAGTGGTAATTTTGTTATATAAAAAATAATAACAGTCTTTACTTTGAGTCTTATCACCCTTTTATACCTTTGAGCAAATTCAGGAAGATATGTATAAAATTCAGTATCGGACACAGAAAAATATTATTTTAGCCAATATCGTACAAATCTGTATGTATTTTATAAAGGTCTGACAGGAAACAGCAAGAGAAATGACATGAGTCGAGAGATTAAGGACAAAGTCTGCGACGGCCTCGAATATCTTTATAAACGTGCAGACTTCTGGCGTCAACAGAAACCCATGTACGCTCGTAAACGTGACAAGGATAAGCAGCGTGAAGAATGGAACAAATCTCGTCGCAGCGGCCGTGGAAATATGGATAAGGTACTCAGGAATTTGGAAGACATTGATGAAGGTGAGTGAATTTAGTTTCTATTTTTCTGTGTTAATGCTTGGCAAGATATTTGATATTTCTTTTCTCATCCTAAGCTTTTATAGGAACTGAAAGGGTAACAATATTTTTCTCTTTCTCTGACATTGAAATTAAAAATTTTGAATATCAAGCCTTGCTCTGATGTATTATAAATGTTTTAATTATGTAACGCTTGGTAGTTTTGCAAAAAAAAGAATTGAAAATAATGGTTTTAAATTAAAAATAATAACTTTCTTGAACCTTTTTGTTTCTTAATTACACACATTGCATTCATTTTGCAATGTAGTAACTGTAACATAAACTATAATGAAAAATTCAGAATTTTATGCATAACAACAGGTCAAAAACCATATAATATAAATCATGACCTTAATACAGTAACAGTTTAACTCCTATTACATTTAATATGAGATAACCCGTTAGGCCTTTACTGCACTAAAGTGACATGATTTTGTACGAATTTTGTCGCCTCTTTTTTAGCCCAATCTGAAGGACGTTATCAGGAAAGTTTAGAAAAAGCCAAGAGCACTCTGAAGATCGTAGAGAATGCCTCAGACGATGATATCCAGAATAAACCGGAACTTTTAGCTAGTCTGTACAGTAGCATTGGAAATGCTTGTCTCGAGTTAGGCAAGTTAAACCAGTCTATGGATTACCACAACAAAGATTTAGATATTGCCAGGGAATAGTAAGTACAACTTTTTCAGGAGTTCTTTTAAAAATGTTGTTTGGATTAAAAAAGGTTTCCCTTATGCTCATTTTTGGTCATTGTTTAAATTAATACAAATTAATCCAAGTCAAATAAAAATCCAGTCTTTTGTTTATAATTTTTGATTTATAGTAGATAAAAATATTTTAAAAAATATCTTTGCATTGCCAATTGCATATTTTAACCATTCCTTAGTGTACATGTATACTGCATTGACTTACCAGAGCAATCATGTTTGTTACCCTCAATCCTGGAAGATGAATATTGAAAACTTTTTACTTGTGCTATATTTGTATAGTGAACTATGGTCTGTAACCTTGAAATTGAAACTGTCTATTTCAGTCACTTTTGGTTTCATAAGGTTAATGTTTAATGGAATATTCTTATTAAAGGAAATGATTTTATTTATTAAATAAGAATAATAATGATTATTGATCATGTCAATATTTTAATGTACTGGTAATAATGATATTTCAGTAACTTAGAAGATGCCAAATCAAGAGCCTTGGATAATTTAGGAAGAGTTCATGCCAGAAGAGGGGAATATGACAAAGCTATTGAAGTGTGAGTTATCTCTGACTTATTTCGTAACAACATGTATTAAATGGACTTGTCTGGCTTTGAGTTTGGACAGATACAGGGTTATTTTGTATGGAAATAATAAAAATATATCAGTATGGAAATAATAAAATTGAATAGAAAGATGTATATAATATTAGTGTCATGGTCAGACTTCATGGATGTCCATACTAACAGGAAAATAAATATAAAGATATTACATACTTTATTGTGCTAAGCAAAGGAGATATTACATACTTTATTGTGCTAAGCAAAGGACATGTTTATGAATTTTAAAATGGCTGCATGATTGTTGTATAATTTAACCAGTCTTTCCAAATGACAAAGTGGGGCCTCATCTCCATTATTTATCAGGAATGGAGAGATATTCGGCCTTTCTCTCTATTTAATTGATTCTGTTCATATAAATATGTTAGAATGGAAAAATATATAAATTTTTTGTGCATTGTTGTACAGTATTGCATGATTTTTGTACAAATATTTTTTTTTAGTTAATATTATTAATTATATTATATCACTGCAACAATACACCCAAATTATTATCTTTTTTCTTAAATATAATGTTTGCTCAATAAACATGATTGTATAGATTTCTAAAAATTGTCTTTCAGATGGAAAGAGAAGATTCCTGCTAGTAAATCACCTTTAGAAAGTACCTGGCTATATCATGAAATAGGTCGGTGTTATTTAGAACTAGGAAAATACTCTGATGCACGAGATTACGGGGAGAAATCATTAATGGCGGCACGTGAGGCAGACGACGCAGGCTGGCAGTTACATGCAAGTGTTCTTATTGCTCAAAGTGAAGGTATGTTGTTGTTTTGTTTTTTTTGGTATTTGTTTTAACATTTGATTGTATAATGTTTAAAGGCACAGAAATATAAATTTTTTCTTCTTTTAAGAAAGGGGCAAACGTGAGTTTTGTAAAGTTTAAAGACTACTTTTAGATGATGTTTGATATTAAACCAGAGCTGAATGTGAATTATTTGTCCAAAAAAAAAAAAAAGAACTAAAATGTAAACAAATTAGGATTTTGGTTTCCATACAAAATATTAGACCACTATAACTTTACTCTCAAGGTAACAGAAAAAGTAATAGAAGCAAAAGATGGCTCAGGTAAATGGAAAATAAGTCAGTCTTTTGAAATAATAAAAGAGCACCAAAACTAAGAAGGCTTTTGGTAAAACAAAGCATTTCTTGGGCTTAATGGGCCTTTTATACTGTTTTTGAACAGATAGTGCAGCCTCAATCAAGATTGGAGTTAACTAAATACTGATGAAAAACTGTCCTGATTTAATTTTCAGTAAAACTTGGGGACTACCAGTCAGCTGCTGATTCTTTCGAGAAATCATTAGAATTGGCACGGCAACAGAAAGACGAGGCTGCTGAACAAGCTATAACAAAAGCCCTAGATGAGGTGAATGATAAAATTGTTCGAGGAGTAAAAGAAGAGGAAGGTGAGGGTGAGTACAGAAAAAAATTCTTTTAAGTCTTGTTCACAGTCGGATGAAAAAAAAATATTGTTCCAATTTTTATTTTGGACCTTAAATATTTATTTTGTAGATACTCATTTCTTGGATTTGTATTTATGCAACATTTTCAGGGCTCTATGTGACATTTTGTATTATTATTGAGAAATCACAAGATAATGTAACTCTGTGACATCAAATCCCTTTAAAGAGGCCCATAATTGTCACACTTTGATAGCCTTTAATACTGCTGTCTGTATATTGGTATAAGGATATGAATAATTAGCAGAGAGATGCATTGTAATGTCATGCATATTAAATATAAGAGCTGCATTGTTATGTTATGAATATTAATTAACAGAGAAAGCAATTTTGTAATGTTATGAATATTAATTAGCAGAGAGTTACATTGTAATGTTATGAATATCAATTAATAGAGAGCTACATTGTAATGTTATTAATATTAATTAACAGAGAGCTACATTGAAATGTTATGAATATTAATTAAGAGATAGCTACATTGAAATGTTATGAATATTAATTAAGAGATAGTTACATTGTAATGTTATGAATATTAATTGAGAGATAGATACATTGAAATGTTATGAATATTAGTCAACAGAGAGCTACATTGAAATATTATGAATATTAATTTATAGAAAGCAATTTCGTAATGCTATGAATATTAATTAACAGAGAGCTACATTATGTAATGTTTATATGAATATTTATTAAGAGAGAGCAACATTGAAATGTTATGAATATTAATCTAATTTTGCAATTAGAGTTACATTATAATGTTATGAAAATTAACAGAGAACTACATTGTAATGTTATGAATATCCATTAAATGTTGTGAATATTAATTAACAGAGAGCTACATTTTAATGTTATGAATATTAATTAACAGAGAGATATGATGATGATTTTGAGACAGAGAAAGGTAAAATACTGAAACATTATCCTACTTTATGTCCATTACTGTTCTGTTTCCTAATTGTACCAGTTTTAATCTTTCTTTTAAATTTTGGTATTTTGGTTTATATCATTAATTTTAATACCATCATTTTCTGCATTTGCTAAAACATGACATGAATAAGTAATATATGTGTCAAATGTAATAAATATAATGAATATTTTTATTGAAGAAATCGTTAAGCAAACAAAAATTATAATAAATATGAAATTTTTTATAATGGGTTATTATTAGAAAATTATTTAGCCAGTAGCTATACTGTCTCAGGGACTTTGGATTCTTTCATGTGAGGAAGCTTTCAAGCTAGGCTTACACAATGTTGGTGGTTCTACTCATTTTGCCTGTTTGTGCCTGAAATAATGCATGGAGGGATACCTGAGGTCTTCATACAAGACATTTACAGTGTTGATCTTACAAAAATTTCAAGAAACCAAAAAAAAACAAAAAAAAGTATAGAAAGAAGAATTACCAAAATTAAATTTATCCATTATATAGTCAGTACATAAAAGTTACAAAAATTGTCATGATTTAGCACTTGCATAACAAAGTTTGCATGTTTTGATTAATATAGTATATAAAAATGATATATATTAAGTTAAGAACTTAAAAGAAATTGGACTGACAACCAGTCTGTTAATGCCTTCTTTTCATTGGTTAATTCTAAATTCATTATAGACTGGTTTAAATATGTTTAGGAGTATAAGGATACATCTGGGATATGTTCTGTGCTGTAAAGTTTTACCAGTTTTTTGCAGCATGAGTTATATTATGCATGAAAAACAATTACTTTACATACACATATAAAAAGGAATGTGATGTTGTTTTACTGGCATAGTCATATGTACTAGCACATTTTTTATTCATATATTTTTATGGATGTTTACCTTTACTTTTCTTTTATTCTAAGACTTGGGGATCATTTTCTGACATTTGGCAATGTTTATAAAATAATTGTTTATGAATGAATATTGTTTATCATTTTCACGATGTATGATGTACGTAAGGGTGACTGTTGCTAAACTGTAATTTATATGTAATATGCAAGAAAAAAACCCAAACAGTGGTTGCTAATAGATGGCAATAATTTTTTAATTTTGGCTTTTGTGTTTCTTTGCTCACTTCTGAGACATAATGTACATGTACCATCGTTAACAGTTACCCTTGATCAACAGTTACCTTTGAGCTGGATTCTCTAGTCTGTGTACAGGCAGGAAGTGTTTTGATAAAATGATGTTATTGAATAAACTTTGCCACTTGTCTGAAGTTTTACTAATTGTTACCATAGAGTAGTCTTTACTAAAATGAATTTAAATAAATCTTTGTTATAACATCTTTTACATCAATCTTTTCCTTTATATGTCAACTAACAATTTTGAATATTTGGTTTGATTTTGATGTCTACTAACTTGAAAATTAGTAAATCTTAAATTTGAAGCAGTTTACTTAGATTTTCCAACTATCAGAATAATATGTAGGAATATTTTATTCATCTTGAAGTTGCTGTCTGTGATTTGCGACAGCCAACTCATGCCTTTGCAGGCAATGTTATTCCTTATTTTCTATCAAAGGTATTCTTTTCATGTGATTTTATGATTCTTGGTGAAAATATAAGGCCTTTTTATCAGCAGTGAATAATATTGATAGTGATGAATGATTCGTATCAATCATATCTCACTGAAGAAGAAAAAAAAATGCTGTATAGTTGAAGAACATGAGTCTAATAAACATGTTGTTTATTGTTATTAGAGTTTTTATCTTTCAGCTTTATTATTTATATACGATATTTTAATATGTTTTGGTGATTTTAAAACAGTTAGTTAAGAGTTATGCATTTTTTTATGTAAGTAAGTTAAGAGTTATGCATATTTTATGTAAGTAAGTTTTCCCCACAGCAAAAACACCAGTACAACAACAACCGAAGGAACCGACTCCACCTCCTAAAGAACCCACACCGGAACCAAGGATTAAATCAGTCTCCATTAAAGAAGAGCCAGAAGGTTTTTCTATTCTCTAATTTCATAGATTCTGGCTTGTGTTGATATTAATTATATTTGCTTGTGTTAATTAACTTTAAATCTAAGTTAATTGCAGGTTTTGTGTGATTTGTACAGTTTTTGATAACAGGTCACAAGAATTTGTTTTGTAATGTGTATTTATATTGGTTTTTATAACAAATGTTAATTGTAAAGGTCAATATTTTGCACTTCCTTAAGATTAATATGCAGCTTGATTTAATTTTTTGTTTTAACAGACAGAGCATTGTAATTTTCTAATGTGTTTTTTCTTGAAAATTTGTTGTTTTTTGTTGTTGTTTATTTGTCTATAACATTGTTTTACATTAAGTTTGGTCTATTTTATCTGAGGCAGTATTTGGGGGGGGGGGGGGGGGGGGGGGAAGATTCATAATATCTAATATCTATACTGAACATTCATTTATCCCTCATGAACAGACTTGTTCAAACTGAGTTAATTAACTTTTTTTACAAATTTAAAAGATTGATTGAGAAATTATTTTACATATATACGCATTTAACCTATGTTTCATAATAATTATTGATTGTTTAATTGAGTAATGGTTTATTTATACAAGCATGATTTTTTTTCACATGATGGGATGATTTTTTTTATCAAAATTTATTATTATATGCTTTACATTGTATTTATTTAAATGCATTAATTTTGCAAGTGTTCAATTGCAGCATTGATTTACCTCATTTTCATTTTTAGAACAGCACTTTTCATTATACAATAAATATATTTTTTCTCTTTTTGACACTTTTTTAAGACATATATTGTTAGAACTTTATATTAAAGTGACATTATGTTCATTTTTTCGCTGTCAAGTTCAGAGTTGAATTATAAATGAACTATAAATTATAAAAAGATGTCCATCCCACTCTTTTAAAAAATTAGCATTACCATTACATTCCGAATGATATTTATAGAAATGTCCAGACAGTCATGTGGATTATTGATAACTTTCGCCAAGTAAAATATGAAATTGAACAGAATTGAGACAAAATTTAAAGTTATTTTGAAATTTATCAATGCACTCGCCATAATTAATCTTGTATGGAAATAATGTCACTTTTAGACATAAATGGACAACATTCAGAATACATTGGAAAAATCATTCACATTTAGATTGTAACCAATATTTTTTTGGCAATAATTTTATTTAAAGTTTTGTGATTTTTTAAAATTCATTTGTTAAATTTCAAAGCAAAATACTTTACTTTTTTGCGCTAATTGTTTTACTATTTTCTGAATTTTATTTTTAATAAATATTTTTATTCATTATAATGATTTAGTGCTAAATGTGTGTTTTGAAAAATGCATTACAATTCGTAACATAAAATTAGGAAACGTTTTGCATGTAATAATCGTTTTTTTTCCCATGTGTGGAATTTTACTTATTCAGAATACTGTAAAATCATTATTATTCGTGGGACACTAATTTTCGTGGTTTTCCTGGATTAGAGGTCTGAATCTGCAAATTCAAGTTCCGGCAAATTTTCAGTTCATCTGCTGTAAGATTATTTTGCATCACATTATTTACATTTTACCTTTTGGAAAAATACTGTCCACAAATTTAAGAACCCACAGAAATGTTCTTCGTAACAAAACCACAAAATTTCATGCCCACGAAATTAAATGATTTCACAGTTACTGACTTATGGAAACTTATAAGCACTCCAATCGCAAACTTCATGAAAAACAATTGCTAAAAATGTTTCTTGATCAAGGTGTCATCTGCTTGAAGTTGGAATGCTTATAAGTTTTGTTTAGTGTTTATACATGTAGATTGCATTTTGTTTGTTTTTCATAATGTGTTCTTAACATTACTCCATCTTACAAAACTTCTATATTGCATATTTATTTCATTATTGGATTTCATTTTCACTGTCAAAATCTTTTTGAAAAGTGTAGCTATAGTTGCCAGATTTCAGCACAACTGATTTGGTTAAAGGACCATCAAAACATTAAACAAAACAAACGTAAACAGTTGAATTAGATTAATCAGTTTTCAAGACATTCAAAGGCTACTCCCTCTTGGAGCAAAAGAAAAAAATAATAATGACAAATAATTCCATCTGACTCAAAATATTGTTTGTCTGTTGTGTTTTTGCCTGTTGTTCAATGACCATTTCTCATTATGCCTTTTTTATATGTCCAAGATAGTAAGCTACAGAATGATGTTTGTTACAATTTTTTTTCATTTTTGAAACTGTTCATCAAAACAGGAATGAAAATTGACTTTCTCATGAGGATAAATTTGTAGGGAGGAGTGTTTTTAGTAAAATATGTAAATAACAAGAAACTGCAAAATGAAATTTGTAAAACTTTGTGTAGAGTGAACTAAATTGATAACCATTTTAAATTTTTACAACATAATGTGCACAAAACTATATTATTTACTTTTTACATAATTGTGTGTGTGAACTAAATTGATAACCATTTTAAATTTTTACAACATAATGTGCACAAAACTGTATTATTTACTTTTTACATAATTGTGTGTAACTCATTTTTTAACAATTATATAAGTGAATAATAATTATATAGATATAATTTGATTTGTAGTTTAAGATGAAAATAATGTAAAGTGTAACATTTAAATTTCATCAACATCCTAAATTAGTCAGTAATTTACATAATTATTAACCCTCAACCTCCTGAATTTGTGAAATGGATTTGCCCATCTCTAAATTTGGAACAGTCCATTTAAAGGCTAAGGGATTTCAATATGGAAATACAAAAAAATACCTACATATAGTATAGAGCTTAGTAAGATTGTAGCATGTGCAGGCTGGTCTGGCTCTTATAATACTGGTGGCAAAGACTAATCATTTTTTGTTCCAGTAGATTGAGGGTTACAATCATATACAAACCTTTCATAATGATTTCTTTACTATAATTGTATAATAGATACATTTTCATTTTATTCGGCTATCATACATTAATCTGTCTTTCCTTCTTTCATTTATTTTTATATCTTTGGTGTAGAAATCTTTCTTTTGTATCAAAAAGTGATAATGTAAGTAGCTATTTATATAAATGATGTAATATTTATCTTAATGTTCAGAAGAACCTCAACCTCAAGAGAGAGAGGAAGAACCAGAAGAACCAAAAAAAGGTAGACAACTGTGTATATTAAAATAATCTCCCTTTGTGTGCTTTTAATTTTTTGTGAAAAGATGGTACATGTGCTCTTTGACACTATCTGTCTTTTCAGGCCTTTATGTTGGTGAGTTAATGAACAGGTGGATAGCTTCAAAATACTTGCCTTAATTCGCCGATTGGCTGTCTAAAAACATACATTTAATTATAGGGAAACACTGTTGAACAAAGTTAAACTAAAATCATATTGTTCCCCTATTGTTCTTTTTTGATATTTTGCTTGTTTTGACTTATATAATTCATAAATGTTTGCTTTTTGAGCAAAATGTTTTCACTTTTGATTGAAAGTTCTTGTTAAATTTCAAGATTTTTAAAGTAAATTTATGAGGGTCTCTTTTTTTGTTTTCATCCATTGTAATTTCTTTATGCCCAAGAAACTTTGAATCATCTTTGTACATCAGACCTTTGTTCATACTTTTTTTAAGGTTATTTTTTTCATGTTTGACATCTTTGTTCAATTAGTTTAAGATTTCATTAGATGATTGTACAAGTTTCGAGTTAATTACCAAAACTAAGATTGTTTAAATTTAAGATGTTTGTACAAATCAGAGATTTTTTATTCCATGCTTTGCACAAGTTTTAGAGTAGCTTACCTCATAATTATGTAAGACCTTTGTGAAGAAATTGGAGATCTATATGCATATTTTGATCAATATACTTTCATGAATTTGTGTGCTTACTTCTCCTCCTGGTGCCATGGCAACACTTGGTTAAGGATTTTATCTTTATATTTCATTAAGCACTGAAAAATATTCACTTGAAACTTTAAGCATGTGTCTTTGGTATCACAATTGTTGGTAATCTTGTAAGAACCACAATTGATTGTGGATTTTGTTTGAATGATTTGCAAGCTTTGGTTTGCAAACAAACGTTTGGTAAGGGCTTTGCAGACTCTTTATTCACTAGTACTGATAAAGTGGTAATTTTGAATTCAAAGCATATGGTTAAGGTCACTGACTGATATTTCTGAGTGGAAGCACTTATGGTAGATTTTTTTGTTGTCAAATTTTGGTGTATTTCATTAAGTTTGTTATCTTTATTTCCTTCTTGTCAAGTGTATAAACAAATTCAAATCTATTTACATGTAATAAAAGGTATTTGTCTTCAAGATTTTCTTTTAGCTTTTGATTAAAATCTGTTATTTCTTTAATTTTATGGGATCTTTGTGAAGTATCAGATCTGGCTTTCATATTTTGTTTGGACTTGAGACCTTTGCATTATAGTTTTGCATAATATATTGATTCTTTTTGAAATTCCTTGGTTGAATTTTAGATCTTTGTATTAAAAAGTCCTTTGTGTTCAATTCATTGAAATGGAAAACATTAATTTGCATCATCAGTTTATTGTTTGTAATATATCTTTTATACCATCATGTTGCTTTCCGTGGAACCTTAATTTATGTTCTATAATGCAATATTTATATTTATAATACACTATTAATGTTCTATAATACAATATGCTTTGTTTGATATATTATAGACAAACAATTGTATGTTAGTTGCATGCTTTTTCTCCATGTATATAACCAGATTACCTTTGTGAGGGATGTTTGTACACAATTTTATTGCATTTGAAGGCAGTATAAGTGTATTTTGTGTTCTAAATTTAGAAAATAAAGCAGCATGCTGTCAGATTTATGCTAATTTTCATGAAAATTTTGAAAATATATTTGAAACTAAAATATTGTGAACAAAGAAAGTATTTAATGCATTGCAAACAACACTTACAATCCATGTAAATAACATAAAGGAGGTCAATATATGCAAAAATAGCCCTTACTGCATTAGTCATGCAGAAGAACAGTGACATAGAAATATCATGATAAGTACGCAAAACCAGTTATTAATTGCACGTAAATTCTTACTTGAATCTTGAATCTTTTCTTAAAATCTTAGTACATGTTTACAAAGTTTGATTATCTTCAATAAATGGAAGAGTAATTTTTTTGCATGTTGTAGCAAATTTTGTACATTATCACTGATGTAAAGAATGCATAATTGATATACATACATTGCATGACAGTGTGGGGGGTGTTAAACATGTCAGACTGTAATCTGAGATTGCTGGGCGCTAAGGTTCAACTTCACTCAGGGGCAAGCCATTTTCTAAGAGCAAGAAACTTTACACTCATTACTTGAGTACTGGTTGGTTCCAGGAAAAAATTTGAGATTAGATTCAATATAAGCTTATAGCTTTCAACACAATCAAACTAAAATGAATTGGTATAACTTAGGTATTACTTAGATACATGTAATTACATGCATTAACATAAAATTAACTTGCTTTTAATGTTAGGTATGCATAAAGTCAAGTTGTGTAAACACAAAATTTCATGTTACTTTTTCAATTATCAATTGTAATAAATTATTTATAACTCAAACCATTATAGATGTAGAACCTTCTAGTTCGCCTGAACCTCAAAACGAGGTTGTCCTACAGGCTGAACAACCGAAAGAACCAGAACAACAACAACAACAGGAAGAGGAAATACCGAAACCAGGTTCATCCAAATATAGCCTTGAACTTTGACATTGTATTACTCTGACCTTGACCTTGTTTTTCTTGCATTTTATTACACATATGAATGTAACCATAACATATATACTTGTGTATATTTATTCATAACTTTACTTTTGAGTTTTTTTGTGATTTAAAAAGATTGTTTATATTTGACTTTTATGCATGCTGCATTTAAATCATCGATCATCAAACCGAGTCAGAAAAATGCCTTTATTTCTCACCATATGTAACCAATGAATTTCCAGTGTTTGCAACATGTAATCTTCCATTCTATATCAAGTGGATCCAATCTTATCAGTTTAGCCTTGTTTTCATTTTTGAAGACCAAAGAATTCCATATCACAAAAGATAAAAGAGTTAGTTCGCGTACAATATTGTTTTCAATTTAGCCTCGTTTTCATTTTCAGAGTCCAAAAAAGTCTTATCCATATTGTACAGGAAGTAACTCTGCCTACCCTAAAATGTTAATTATTCTTTTAGGACTTCTTTCTGTTACATGTATGAGAGGCTTTTTAAAATTCTTTCAGAGATTTAAAATAAAATTGACTTTTAAAACAAACATTGTCTTAACCATCAAAATGAATGCATGCTTTGTATCCTTTTGATATTTTTTGTCTTTATACTAGGACATGTATTGGATTTTTCCTGTTTCTATCATTAAACTGTTTTATATTTACTGTGCATGGATTGTAGTTGTTTTACTATTGCTTGAATGTTTTATATTCAACTTTTCTTGAAAATAGTGTTTATCATTTCATTTAGTAGAACATTTTTCTTGACATTGACTTGAATATGAGATCACATTGACTTGATATTGGAATGACATGAACTTAATTTGCATGTGATATTAATTTGACATTGACTTGAATTTGAGATCACATTGACTTGATATTGGACTGATATGGACTTAATTTGCATGTGATATTAATTTGACATTGACTTGAATTTGAGATCACATTGACTTGATATAGGACTGATATGGACTTAATTTGCATGTGATATTAATTTGGCATTGACTTGAATTTTAGATCACATTGACTTGATATTGGAATGATATGGACTTAATTTGCATGTGATAGTAAATTGACATTGACATGAATTTGAGATGACATTGACATGATATATTGAATTAATATGTATGTACATTAAAATGATGTTAACTTTAAGCTTGCCATCTACCTTTTGCTGACTTCATGAACTTAGATGTGCAATTGGCATGACTTTGAGATGACACTGGCATGTCACTGACTTAAGTTAGATGTGACAATTGCATGACTTTAAATGGCATTGATTTTGACCTGGCATTGGCATGTTATTGACTAAAGTTAGAATGATGTGACAATGGCATGACTCTAAATGACTTTGACCTGACATTGGCCTGTTATTGACTTAAGTTAGATGTGTAATTGGCATGTCACTGACTTAAGTTAGATGTGACAATTGCATGACTTTAAATGGCATTGACTTTGACCTGACATTGACCTGTTATTTACTATAGATGATATTGACATGACATTTACTTCATTGACCTGATATTGATTTTGATGTAACATTGACTTGACTATGAGATTCCTATGAAATCATTGATTTGATTTTTTGACAACATTCACCTGACATTCATATATATCATTTCAGATCTTAAATAAAGAAACCCAAATGTTTAGCATATATATTCATTACACATATATCATTTTATATTGTTTGAAAAGAATGACCGGATTAGAATCAATATTTTAAATTCATGATTTTCTTAATTGTTAAATATTGAAACGTTTTAGTAGATAGTGATTATTAATTTCTACAGAAGAGTAATTTAAAACATTATTATACATTGTTATCATGTCATAAATGTACTAAACATTGATTTTGTAAAAGGATACTAATGTACATTCATAAAATCTGCAACAAAATATATGTTATACTTTTTTTATACTTTTAACATTGATATGTTCTTATAATAACTTTTGGAAACATGCATTTATTATTTTTCAGCACAGTTTGAGACCATCTTTATAAAAATGTTGGTTTGCCATTACTCAGCTGTAACCTTAATTGTGACTTTTTGATATTTTGTGGCAGTCTTGATTCTTTCTATGTCACATTACGTTTAAATTCTGGCTAGCCAGCAAAGTCTTACAAGGCTTTATAATTCAGTTAAATTTTAGGGAAAAAAATTTTTGAATCTCTTACAATAAAATTTTAGATTTAACAAGAGCAAAGAAAACCAAAATTGGCAGGGAAAAAGAACATATTACTTCAATATTAAATTGTTTTTAACTCATTTATCTCAAAGAAAATATAATATAAACACTGAGTATATAAATAGTAATTGCAAACTTATATTATGAAAATAAGGATGGTCAAGGATAAGATATATCTGTTTAAAAAACACTTATTATTAAATTTGCAAAACCTATGTTGTACAATTACATGTAGTACTAAGTTCTTAGTAGAATATTTACAGCTCATAAGGATTTATAGTCTTTTATAATAAAGAATAGACATGTGATATATTAACAGCGTTATTTATTTGGTCTGATTACAGAACAAACAGGTGTAGATGAAGGTGAAAGTCCCAGAAAAACATCTCCTGAACCAACAACAGACACAGACAGAGAACAAACAACAACAGACAAAGAACAAACAGATGATGAAGGTAGGTAGTTATTTTATGTAGTAAAAAATGGGTATAAATAATTATATAGAGATATGGTTATAAAATTGCTTTTCTTATACATTGTTGTTTTAATTAGCTCGACTTTTCAAAGAATCGTGAGGGCTATTGTACTCAACCTTACATTGGGGTCACACTGAAGTTTTTGTGTGCAAGTTGATATCTGGAATGGGTTGAAACTTCACACACTTATTGTAGAGCATAAAAAAAGAGGTCACTGTCCCAGGAACATAGCTCTCACACAGATTTTGACATGGAGTTAAAGCTTTATTTAACTAAGAAAATTACATTATCCAAGCTTTTGTTTTACTATCAAACACTTGGAATAGCCAAGGGGACTTCTGACAGCTCTTGCTGTCAGTCCAGTTTTGTTAATCATTTGGTTAAGGGCATGTGCTACTTTTAGGGTTGATTTGTTATGTAAGGCATCAGGTAGCTCTAAAATGTATTGTGTCACGTAATGGGCAAGTGGGGGATGGAGGAGTGGGTAGCCACTACTGGTCAGGTATCAGGGCCTAAAATGATTCAGTTTGCAAGCAGACTTCAAATTACTTGCCCTTTATGGCTGTCAGGTTTTGACACCTTTGTGTTTCAAAATCATCTTTCCTGCTTTGGTGCCAGATGAACTAAATTGCGAGTGTGCGCCATGAAACCATACCAACAAAACAGACAATTGATATTTTCCTTCACCAAATGATGATGTAAACTATCAGTTTCATTAACAGTGTCAAGTATTTTGTAAGAATATTCAGAGATTTTTTATATTAATGTATTTTATATTTTCAGCACAAAAACAAGCTTCTTAGAAGTGAAGAAAGAAAGAAAAACACATCATGAAAAAAACAATTCTTAAAAGTTAAGAGGGAAAAACCCACATTATGAAAAAACAACTAAAATGATGAACGTTTACAAAGTAAAGCATGCAGGAGTGAAGGAAAAACCACAAACCTATAAACAACAAAAATGATGAGCAACCAAAATGACAAACGTTTACAAAGTTATTAATGTATAAATAAAGAAGACTTTTACTGGACTGCAATTTAATCCTACTGCCACTGACAGTAAATACAGACATTTTATTAATTGATGTTATTTAAGCTATTGGTTAAATCTGTCAAATTAGTGTTAACAGTAATTTTTATCAATTTACATATAGACATGTATATAGATATGTTTATGATATGAAATTTACTTTACGCAATTAGAAAAATGTTAGTTTTATACTACGCAAATTAATTAATTTTCTAATTTTAGTAAGAAAATTTTCTTCACACTATTAATGTTATGTTCAAATGCCATTTATCAGTTTAATTATTATTCATTTATGCATAAAAATCTTATGAATAATTCATTAACATTGTGATAAATTTTTGAAATAAAAAGTGCATGAATGAAAAACAAAACAAATATGCATGAAATAAATATATTAATTTTAATAACAGTTAAAGCAGCTTGCTTGCAGATTGATGCTAAATTTCGGGAAAATTTTGTAAATGTATTTAAAAGTAAAATATTGTGAAAGAACAAAGAAAATAATTTACACATTTCAAAGGGCACTCACAATCGATGTTTATTACCAAAAAGAGGTCAAAATATTAAAAATAGCCCTTATTGTGTTAGTTACATAGATAAATATTGCAAAAACACATATAATTTTACTTGAATCTTGAATCTTTTTACTTTTATTTAAATCTTAAGTTTCTGAATTTCTTGAAATATTTTCGCTCATCTAGCATGCAGCTATGTTTTATAACAATTGATTTAATTTAGTCTATGCATATTTTGATATTTGTTCAGTAATTATAGCCATAAAATTTTTTAGTGAATGCGTTTTAGTAATGGATTATTTATTTCAATTTCAATTTTAAACTTTGTTTTCTTATTCAGAAACTATTTTAGTATTAGTACATAGACATTTTACATCTATGTTGTGATAAGTTTAAGTTATTTTATTGAACAGAAAGATTTTGATATTGATGCTTATAATTCAAAGATATAAAATAGATTCCAAAAAATTACAAGTTATTCTTGTTTTTGTTAACGGTTGTTTGAGAATATACTATTATTCTTTCCAAGGAATCTCAAACGTTTTACATTTCCTTTAGGCTAGGACATAATATGTAATGTTCCCAGCTGTGAGAAATGGCTGAGACCTAACATGTTTTAAGTTGGAACAGAATAGAACAGAATATTTCTTTTTCTGGACTTGAGCAAAGCTCCTAGTCTACGAAAATAATTATTACATAATCAAAACGCAAATTAAGCAGGTCTTACATGTACAATAATGTAGAGAGAAACAAAATATAGACAATAAGAGTGGTAAGGTTTGTTTCTTTGTTTTACGCCGATTTTACACAAGTGTGGTCATATATTTTGGGTCGATCCATCTGAACGGCTTTCCTGGATAACTAACCAGTAAAGTAATTATCCAATTTCTCTGCAATTGACGGACTATTAATCCCGTAGGATTTCTGAATCGGCGGCAAAAGTTGAGAGAGAACTGACCATATCGTCATCGCCCGTGGATCGGACCAGCGACCCTTAGTTTATAAATCCAACGCGCTCCATATATATCGTATTTTAAGGCGTTAAAAGCTCCACACCCCACGTGTCTGTGGATTCAACACGTACTGGTTAGTTCCAGGCTGGATCGGAAAGGGTCAGTTACGCTTAAAACTTCATGCTCAGTCGCGATAAAATAAAAGTATTTGAAGTAAAATATTTAAATAAACAATGATTAACGATGATTTATCGGTAAAAAAGGGCTGAGCTTTATTAATTTCTTTTTTACAAATAAAATTAAGTTGTTTCCTTTAAGTAAAATGTAGTGACTGTTTCAACAAGCTATATGATTTCTTGTTAACAATATAACTATAATATCAATCTATAATAAATGTTTCTTTGGAAATTTTGTATTACTTAATAGTGGATTATTCCAAGTTAGCAAACCCCCGAGTACCCTTTTTACAAAGTTCATACCTACTTTGAACGATGTATTGATAAATTTCATGTTGCATTTTATAGCACGGCAGTTAGGATCATTATTTCAGAAAACAACAACGTTTTGAAATATCTTACTTTATTACTATTTTTAATTATTTCTGAGACTATAAATACAATATTTTCAACGAATTTTGCATATATTTTGTACTAATTTCGTGTAAACACCTTCCATCATCTCGGCATATTCTGCACCACACGGCTTTAATTGTTTGTCAACTCGGCATCGGACAGATGATCGGAATTCGTCACAATATTGTTGTTTATGAAGACCATTTTGTACTGCCATAGAGACATATGCCATAATACCATACATTCCTCCGTATGGACAGCTGTGGGTTTCAGACTGACTTTTTGTACACATAAAATTGTCTGTTACTAAGGTATTATTAGAACAAAATATACCCATAGCCGTTGAAAAATTGTCAAGGTCAATATAGTGTTTAAGAAGGTCGTCAATCGGGCTAAAGCTGCGATTTACTAACAATTTCACACATGCTGTATAAGTATCAATCTTGTCACAGAAGCGTCCATAGCTTTCAGCGTGAACTATTTTAGCTCGCGTAGCATTAACAATGTTTGGAAGTGATTGGTCGGAAGGAGGAAATAACATTGATAAAGCGTCTTGGTGTAAGTAGTTCCCACATAAGAAAATAGCAGAGTCGAAAATGTCCTTAGGTTTTTCGGTTGTCGTCGAAGGAGTCGTGTTGCTAGCTGGTGCCGCCAAAGCTGTCACAGAAAGTACGACCGTTCCAATGAATGTTCTCAGCATGTTGGCTATGTTCCGTCTTTACTGCACCTTTAAAGTAATAATGTTTAAAGGTTAATTAAAATGTACATTAAAGCAGCACGCCCTAACAGTTAGTAAATGCATTTTTTGTTGTTGATGTTCTTATGAGTAAAAAATAGTTAATTGTGCAAATAATGTTGTATAACATATCCTAACTCATTTATTATTATCATACATAATTTGTATTTCATATTCAGACGTGCCAATTTAATGGCTAGAGAAAACAAACGACATTTTTACTTTGTCAACTTTATAATAAGATGAACATCACTCTTGAAATGAAGAGGTCGATTTGAGTATGGTTCACAATCGTGGCGCGCGGATGAACATAAAAATGGTTCAATGATTAATTTGGATACGCCTCCATGTTCATGATAATGTTCATGAAAATTTTGAATACTGTATTTTAAAGTATAATATATTGTGAAGTGACGAAAAGGAAGCAATAATGACACTCATAACCCATGTAAATTCCCAAAATGGGGTCAAAATATGCAAAAATGGTCGTTACTGCAATAGAAACGCAGTAGAAATAAAGTTACAAATACTGAGAAAAAAATCAATTAATCGCACATAACATGTAAATTATTACTTGAATATTGTATCGTTTTACTTTTACTAAAATCTTAGTACATTTTTCTTTTCTTTATTTATTTGCTAATTTGGAGGCATGCATCTTTAAAATGGTAGTAATGACATATGGATGACTAACGAAGTTTTATCATTTAGGTCGAAGCGACATTAAGATACGAGTAGATAATTGTACCGCTTTCTGATTCTAATAGATCTTAATTAACCTAATTAGATGAGCTTGATTTGTACAATAACAAATCAGCAATTTACATATGTGTACATTTTGTAAATGTGCAATTAACCTAATACGATTTGTTAGACAAATAGGCAAATAAAAAAGACGTTTAGGACAATAAAATAAATGTTTATATCATTAACATTTAAAGCAGCATGCCTATAGCTTCATACTAATTTTTAAGAAAGAAAATGTATCAATGTACCAAAAAGTAAAATATTGTCATGTGAACAAAGAAAGTAATTTAGACACTGCAAACGGCACTTTCAATCCATTCCAATTACCAAATAAAGGTACAAATATGCAAAAATAGCACTTCTTACGTTAGTCATACAGTATAAAAAGGGTAAATCAGTTTTCATTGCATATAACATGTAAATCATTACTTGAGTTGTGAATAAATTTACTTATTTAAAAATCTTGTATTTTTTTCTCAAAGTTGTTTTTCGAAAATAAAAAGAATAAAAAAAGACTTATCTTGAGCCATGTGTATCAATTTACAAAAGAGGATATGACAACTGAATTAAATCTTATTGTCTACTCACCTTATGATTAAATAAACTTGCGCCTTGTTCTGTTCTGTTGTAAAACAATAATAATCTACAAGCCAACATCGGTGTATATATACTTAGTTAAACCGGATACAATTCGTTATCAAAGTTGTTTTGAAAGATAAAATACTTATTGCGAAATTGATAAACCGCATATGATAATAATGTGCAATCATTCTACGAAGTCCGATACACTTCCTTACCTTTATAAAGGTAAATAGGTACAGCATTGTTTGTTTGCTGAAATAAAATGAAACGGGGATGTTAGAAATATTTTTCCTGGTGTTCTCTTAAAAGTTGTGTACTTTCCATTTAATTAACTTTTTTAACTTGAATATTTAAATATCAACTTATGTTTTGTTTATTTTACTAATCTTTAGTTTTTATCCATGTAGCAGTGCGTTTATGACTTAAAAGTACATTTGAGCCGCGTCATGACAAAACCAACATAATGTGTTTGCGACCAGCATGGATCCAGACCAGCCTGCGCATGCGCGCAGTCTGATCAGGATCCATGCTGTTCGCAGTCATTTTCTCTACTTGTTATACGGTTTGTAAGCGAACAGCATGGATCCTGATCAGACTGCGCGGATGCCCAGGCTGGTCTGGATCCATGCTGGTCACAAACCCACTATGTTGGTTTTGTCGTGATACAGCTCATATAATTATTCTGACAATAACTAAGTAAATTATTGAAATTAAAAGGACTTTACAGCAGTTTTTTGACACACGACGGGACTGGGATTTTTTTTCGAGATTAATGTTTTATTTGATGTTAATCTATATCGACAAGTTGTGTGCAAGAATTTCAGCACATTTTTTCTCTTCGTGGCTTTTAAGAATACGTATTCTTATTGTGGGAAATTACTCAAAATTGATTAAAATCGGACTGAGAAAAGCAAATAAAAAAATAAATAAATAAATAAAAAATAAATAAATAAAACGTTTTTTCAATTTATTTCTTAGTATACAGCGCAACCTCCAGTTAGCAGACGGACACTTTAAAATTGGCCTTTGTAGGGAGGTGGCTGATGCTAACTAGGTTTGTGTCACGGATGAAACTTTTATTGCTGTTAATGTAATTTAAAAATGTATGATTGTAGAGTAGAGAAATAACAAAGACAGGACCACTGTAAAACGAACGCTACGTACTTAAAACAAAAACAAAAACAAAAGGAAAAACAAGGTGGAATGATCAAGTACATTGTAATGGCTTAGAAAGCAATATAAGGCTCATGATAACAAGAAGCCCACATAAAATGGTCGCTATTTTGGACCGGCGAATTATTCTGTAAGTGTTTAAAGTCTAAAAGACCCCATATTCTTACAGTCTCCCGTTCAAACACCATTTGTCTGATTCCGTTGCAGAATCGTTTTTTGCACAACTTTGGAGAGTCTTCTTTGCACAAAATGAGGACCAAAGCCCTAACCCAAGCGATATGTCCGTGAGATTTCCGCGTGGCATGGTCATTTTTGGGACCGGCGATGTGTTCTTTGTCTATATAAAGTCCATAAAATACACCAACCGTTAAGACACTATTTGTCTGAATCAGGTGCAAATTCGTATTTGTACATCTTTGGAGGGTCCTCTTTGCACAACATGAGCACCAAAGCCCTAATCAAAACAATATTTCCGGGAGATTTCCGAGTGGCATGACCATTTTTTGGACCGGCGATCTGTTTTATCCTCTTTATAAAGTGCATACATTTTCGTAAAAATACCCCAACATATTCTAAAGCCAACCGTTCACGCACCATTTATCTGATTCCGTTGCAAATTCGTTTTTGTACAACTTTGGAGGGTCTTCTTTTCACAAAATGAGCACCGAAGCTCTAACCCAAAAACATTGTCCGTCAGATTTTCGCATGTCATAGCCGTTTTTTGGTCCAGAGTTTTGTTCTTTCTCTTTATAAAGTGCATACATTTTCGTTAAAAACACGTTCTCAAATTTAATGAAAAGTGAAAGCAAAAATGTTTTATTCAATCTAGCTATATTCTGTAAGAAAATAATCTTTGTGCTTAATAATACATATTGATATATTTTTTTCATTTTGATCTCATTCTCCGATTCTAAATTGTTAAGTATAAATATGTTATATTTTTATTCTATTTTTTATTCTATTTTGTTCTCTTTTTTATGTACATAATTATGTTCATAACATTGCCATTTCAATTATGTATCACTTTACTTTGTTTTGTAAACAGTTGTTATTTTGTTGTTTTCTCACATGCCCAGTTGGACCTTGAGATATCAATAAAAACTTGAAACTTGAAACTTGTTAAAAACACGATATTCTAGATCAAACCGTTTAAACACCATTAGTCTGATTCCGTTTCAAATTCGTTTTTGTACAACTATGGAACGTCTTCTTTGCACAAAATAAATACCAAAGTCCTAACCGAAGCAATATGTCCGGGATATTTCCGCATGGTTTGGTCGTTTTGGAACCGACAATTTGCTATTTTCAAACTAATCAACTAAAAATTTGCAAAGTTACATCACGAAGACAAAAATTTTCCTGAAATTGTGTTTTACAATATTCTGATCGATCACAACTTGATAAGAATGTTATTCAGAGGTGTCAGACAGAACACGCTTTAGATCATATTCTTACAGGAAATGGCGTCATGCACAGCTAGCCATTGTAAAACGAACGCTATATATACGTACTTAAAAAAGGAACAAAAAAAAAAAAAAAAAAAATCAAACAAGGTGGAATGATCAAGTACATTGTAATGGCTTAGAAAGCAATATAAGGCTCATGATAACAAGAGGCCCACATAAAATGGTCGCTATTTTGGACCGGCGAATTATTCTGTAAGTATTTAAAGTCTATGAAATTTCGTAAAAAGACCCCATATTCATAGAATCTCCCGTTTAAACACCATTCGTCTTAATCTGTTGCAGATTTGTTTTTGTACAACTTTGTAGGGTCTTCTTTGCACAAAATGGGGACCAAAGCCCTAACCCAAGCGATATGTCCGTGAGATTTCCGCGTGGCATGGTCATTTTTGGGACCGGCGATTTGTTCTTTGGCAATATAAAGTCCATAAAAACACCATATTCTAGAGCCAACCGTTAAGACACCATTTGTCTGAATCAGGTGCAAATTCGTTTTTGTACAACTTTGGAGGGTCTTCTTTTCACAAAATGAGCACCGAAGCCCTAACCCAAAAACATTGTCCGTGAGCTTTCCGCATTGCATAGCCTTTTTTGGTCCAGAGATTTGTTCTTTTTCAATATAAAGTACATAAATTTTCCTAAAAAACACGATATTCTAGATCAAACCGTTTAAACGCCATTAGTCTGATTCCGTTTCAAATTCATTTTTGTACAACTATGGAGCGTCTTCTTTGCACAAAAATAATACCAAAGTCCTAACCGAATCAATATGTCCGGGATATTTCCGAATGGCTTGGTCGTTTTGGAACTGACAATTTGCTAATTTCGAACTAATGAACTAAAAATTTGCAAAGTCACATCACGGAGACAAAAATTTTCCTGAAATTGTGTTTTACAATATTTTGGTCGATCAAAACTTGATAAGAATGTTATTCAGAGGTGTTAGACAGAACCCCCTTAGATCACATTCTTACAGGAATTGGCGTCATGCACAGCTAGCCATTGTAAAAAAACAACAAAGTGGAATGATTAAGTACATTGTGATCGCTTAGAAGACTCATTATAGCAGTAGCCCGTCATAAAATGGTCGCTATTTTGGACCGGGAATTATTCCGTAATTATCTAAAGTATATGGAATTTCGTTAAAAGACCCCATATTCATACAGTCTCCCGTTTAAACACCATTTGTCTGATTCCGTTGCATAACATTGTCGCTTTTTGCAACCAGCGATAGGTTGTCTAAGTAAATGAAGTCTAAGGAATTTCGTTAAAAATCCATATTCTAATGCTAACCGTTTAAACAGAATTTGTCTGATAAAGTTGACGATTTGTTTTTGTTCTTCTTTGGAGGGTCTTCCTTGCACAAAATAAGCACCAAACTCCTAACCCTAACAATAAGTCCGTGAGATTTCAGCATGGCATGGTCATTTTTTGGACAGGCGTTTTTTTCTTTCTCTATATCAAGTGCATGAATTTTCGTAAAAGAGCACCATATCCTAAAGCCAACTGTTCAACAACCATAAGTGTGATTCTGTTGCAAATTCCTGCAAGAACCTGCTCTTTAGCGCGTTCTTGTCACAGACCACTATATAGCATTCTTAGGCAGATGTGATCGATCAAAATAATGTAAAACACAATTTCAGGAAGGTTTTGTCTCCATATTATCGCTTTGCAAATTTTCAGTTGATATACGTTTATATCGAAAACAGCAAATCGCCAGTCTCAAATGGCCCTGCCACGCGGAAATCTCCTGGACATATTATTTGAGTTAGGGCTTTAATTCTCATATTGTGCAAAGAAGACCCTCCAAAGTTGTACAAAAACGAATTTTAAACGAAATCTGGCAAATGCTGTTTTAACGGCTGGCTCTGGAATAAGGTGTTTTTTATACAATTTATATAGACAAAGAACAAATCGCATTTCACAAAAATGGCTATGCCACGCGGAAATCTCCAGGACATATTGTTCGGGTTAGGACTTTGGTGCTCATTTTGTACAAAGAGGACCCTCCAAAGATGTACAAAGCGAATTTTAAACGGAATCAGACAAATGGTGTTTTAACTACTGGCTCTAGAATATTGTGTGTTTTTTATACAATCTATATAGACGAAAAACAAATCGCGTTTCACAAAAATGGCTATGCCACGCGGAAATCTCCAGGACATATTGTTTGGGTTAGGACTTTGGTGCTCATTTGTATAAAGAGGACCCTCCAAAGATGTACAAAATCGAATTTGCAACAGAATCAGATTAATGGTTGTTGAACAGTTGGCTTTAGGATGTGGTGCTCTTTTACGAAAATGTATGCACTTAATATAGAATAAGAACAAAACGCCAGTCCAAAAAATGACCATGCCATGCGGAAATCTCACTGACTTATTGTTTGGGTTAGGGCTTTAGTGCTCATTTCGTACAAAGAGGACCCTCCAAAGATGTACAAAATCGAATTTGCAAGAGAATCACACTAAT